CAGCAGCAGCTGTACCACCAATAGTAGCGATGGTTGATTGGGGTTTATTATACAACCTGGCCAGCTCGGAGACATGCACTCCACTTTCATACTTATCAATGATCTTTTTCTTCATCTCTATTGTAATTCTCACCCTTATTGCTGTAGGGTTGGCACTAGAAGCTTTCTTGGGGCCCATGGTCACTTATTTTCCAGAAAAAGCACCGAAAACACTGTAATAATACGAAATATTCCGATTGTATGCTTGGATGTTACCGCGGAGGCTGGCTGGTAAACAATGCCACCGGCGGAACATGTGAGCGCGTCTCGGAAGAAAATCGGTAAGCGGGTTTTTAAGCGGTATGTGAGGCAAAATTTTTGCAATTAAAGTAAGCGGTATGCGAAATAATCGCTATGTGATGCCATCGTTATGCGGGGGTCCACTGTATGTGCTCTGGTAGTGCCATATGCTATTCCAAGGGGAAGAAGTACATCTCAGAGTACATCCCATGATTGTACAACAGGAACCGACAGTGAAAATGACGATGATACTGTTGGAATTGAGATGGAAAATGTGCATGGTGGTGGTAGTGGTGGTGCCGGGCGTGAGGCACCAGCAGTGGGCCATGCTGCCACCCACGCCGCTGCCTCAGCTGATCTACAACAAATGCCACCATCCTCCACAACCATAACCTCCTCAACCACCTGTCATTGTCCAGTACCCACCAGCAGACTGCACCTGGGATTGGCAAGAAGCTGTCAATTTTGTTCCAAATCCCCACCAGTTTGATGACAGCCCAAGTGGAAGACGGCCATGTTGCACACTGGGAAACAATGCCACTGAACTGGAATGTTTCGAGTTATTCTTTGACAAACCCCTGATGGAAAGTATTGTCATGGAAAGCAACACATACTACGAGTACACCATGGCAAACACAATACTTTCACCAAAATCACGTCTACACCAGTGGAAGGAGACAACTGTGGCTGAGATGTATCTTTTCTTTGCCACAATAATGCTTATGCCATATGTGTATAAGCACAGAGTGAAATCATACTGGTCAACAGACCACCTGATTGCAACTCCATGTTTCAGTGATATAATGCCAGTGAATCGGTTTGTGCTAATGTTACGTATGCTTCACTTCTCAGACAAAACCAGGCCTGACAGAAATGACAGGTTATATAAGATTAGGCATGTGTTTGTGTATCTGAGAGAGAAATTCAATATGTATTTTTATCCCTTCAGGAAGCTTGTAATTGACGAGTCTTCGATTCTGTTCAAAGGAAGACTCTCTTTCAAGCAGTACATACAAAGCAAGTGGAAACACTTTGGTATAAAGTTGTTTGTGCTTTGTGATTGTTATAGTGGTCTGGTATTGGATATTATTGTGTACACGAAGTTATACATTGCAAAAAACAAGGAAGTTATTGGGCATCTCTGGTGATGTGGTTAGAACAATGATAGAACCATACCTTGGTAAGGGGCATATATTATATACAGATAATTGGTACACAAGCCCCACACTCAGTGATTTTTTGCGAGTGAACATGACAGATGTGTGTGGCACAGTGTATGCAAATCGGAAACATATGCCCAGGTTTGACGCTGGCACTCAGAGGTGAGGTGCAGGTGTTTGCTGCCAATGACATTATGGCATTTCGGTGGCATGACAAACAAGATGTCACACTGTTGTCATCAGTTCACCCTAATGAAATTGCAGACACTGGCAGGCAGCATAGAGAGAGCAATGAACCCATTCTAAAACCTGCAGCTGTGATTGATTACACCTTCAATATGCATTCAGTGGACAAATGTGACATGCAGATTGGGTTTGCTGATTGTGTTCGCAAGAGTTATAAGTGGTACATAAAACTCTATTTTCCATCTTCTGGACATTTCCATGCTGAATGCTTATAATGTATAAGATGAGGACCAGAAAAACCACCATATGGTGAATTCTGTTTGTCTGTCATCAGACAAATAATATTCAAGTACCAAAAAACAACACCTGCAATAGACCGCCCACCAAAATTTTTTTTGTGTATAGTGCATCAAATTTTCAACAACTTCCTTCTCGTTTGAAGCATGGTGATCACTTCCTGGTAAAACTGCCTGCTACTACTTTCAAGAAAAAGGCTCAAAAGAGGTGTTACGTCTGTGCACATACAAGAAAATGCCCACAACAACGCAGAGAGACTCGTTTTATGTGTGAGGAATTTAAAACACCACTGTGCATGACACCATGTTTCAAAGACTTCCACAGGCTGCAGAACTTCTAGAAATTCCCTGTGACTGTATGTGTGTATATAAAATATAGAAAAATAGTAATAAACAACATTTCATATCGTTTGTGTAAATATTTTCTGTAAACAAAACAATGACAACAGTGTTTACGCTGTTATTGTGTAGTATTGAAAAAGAAAACTTACAAAGTACTGATCATATTGGTCTCACAGGCCACAAAAGTTACTTTGGAAAAGAAAAATTAAAAAATAATAGAAAATAGTACATAAAAAAGTAAATAAAAGAATACCGGGTGATGGCAGTCGGCGATGTTATTTTTTTATTTTTTTATTATCACACTGGCCGATTCCCACCAAGGCAGGGTGGCCCGAAAAAGAAAAACTTTCACCATCATTCACTCCATCACTGTCTTGCCAGAAGGGTGCTTTACACTACAGTTTTTAAACTGCAACATTAACACCCCTCCTTCAGAGTGCAGGCACTGTACTTCCCATCTCCAGGACTCAAGTCCGGCCTGCCGGTTTCCCTGAATCCCTTCATAAATGTTACTTTGCTCACACTCCAACAGCACGTCAAGTATTAAAAAACCATTTGTCTCCATTCACTCCTATCAAACACGCTCACGCATGCCTGCTGGAAGTCCAAGCCCCTCGCACACAAAACCTCCTTTACCCCCTCCCTCCAACCCTTCCTAGGCCGACCCCCTACCCCGCCTTCCTTCCACTACAGACTGATGCACTCTTGAAGTCATTCTGTTTCGCTCCATTCTCTCTACATGTCCGAACCACCTCAACAACCCTTCCTCAGCCCTCTGGACAACAGTTTTGGTAATCCCGCACCTCCTCCTAACTTCCAAACTACGAATTCTCTGCATTATATTCACACCACACATTGCCCTCAGACATGACATCTCCACTGCCTCCAGCCTTCTCCTCGCTGCAACATTCATCACCCACGCTTCACACCCATATAAGAGCGTTGGTAAAACTATACTCTCATACATTCCCCTCTTTGCCTCCAAGGACAAAGTTCTTTGTCTCCACAGACTCCTAAGTGCACCACTCACTCTTTTTCCCTCATCAATTCTATGATTCACCTCATCTTTCATAGACCCATCCGCTGACACGTCCACTCCCAAATATCTGAATACGTTCACCTCCTCCATACTCTCTCCCTCCAATCTGATATTCAATCTTTCATCACCTAATCTTTTTGTTATCCTCATAACCTTACTCTTTCCTGTATTCACCTTTAATTTTCTTCTTTTGCACACCCTACCAAATTCATCCACCAATCTCTGCAGCTTCTCTTCAGAATCTCCCAAGAGCACAGTGTCATCAGCAAAGAGCAGCTGTGACAACTCCCACTTTGTGTGTGATTCTTTATCTTTTAACTCCACGCCTCTTGCCAAGACCCTCGCATTTACTTCTCTTACAACCCCCACTTTTTGCAAACTACACACCTCCATATCTCGGTAAGTATTGATGGTAAAAATTTTTTGTTTAGCCTATAATGTTTAGAAAAAAAAAAAACTTTTTTCAAGACTTTTTTTTTTTTTTTTTTTTTTTGAAATTTGGCCGACCCTCAGAACAAGTCTCAAGAGGACCTGCCGACCCCCAAAGGGTTAATAATGAAGAAAGGTTGCTCAAGTTCTGAACTCTAATTTCAGGTTTTCAATTTCTACTTATTACAATTTTTTATTTCAGTTTTCAGTGTTTTTAAAGCCTTCAGTTAACAGTATAATGAGTGTTGGATAATTTACTTTCATGTTTAATTAACTGGAAATTTTCATTATTGATGCCTGATGATAATCAACTTCTCAATATGCAGATAGGTTAGAATTTTTTTTCAGGTTTAAAGCCTCACAAGGTACCTGTAATTATTAATAATATTGGCATCTCAGGGAGATTAAGTTACTGTACTTAATATTTAACCAATTGGGCAACCAATAAGCATTCCCTTATATATTGAACACAGTTATAATTTAAAAAAAAATAAAGAGGAGAAAAGTATTAGTATCAGCCAAAAATTGGATACAAGTATCAGCCGAAAACTGGATATCAGCATTGGCAAGCATTTTGGTATTGTCCCATCTTTAAATAAAATGTCAGAGAAATAAACAGTGCATGGACAAATGTGATTATAGAACTAATGATGAACAATATGATTAAAAAATCTGAGAAAATAGTGTCCATTTCTTACAGGAAACTCATAGGATGATTTTTTATTTATTAACACATCGGCCGTTTCCCACCAAGGCAGGGTGGCCCGAAAAAGAAAAACTTTCATCATCATTCACTTTATGACTGTCTTGCCAGAGGCATGTTTACACTACAGTTACAAAACTGCAACATTAACACCCCTCCTTCAGTGTCGGCACTGTACTTCCCATCTCAAGGAATCAAGTCTGGCCTGCAGGTTTTCCTGAATTCCTTCATGAATGTTACCTTGCTTACACTCCAACAGCACAGAAAGTCCTAAAAACCATTTGTCTCCATTTGCTCCTATCTAACACGCTCATGCACACTTGCTGGAAGTCCAAGCCTCTCGCACACAAAACCTCCTTAACCCGCTCCCTCCAACCTTTCCTAGGCCGACCCCTACCCTGCCTTCCTCACAGTATGACTATGCATAAAATGTTTTAAATTTTAAAGCAATGCCAAGATGAAGTCCTAATGTAGTACAGTATACTGCAAAACTAAGAATAAAAAACAACTATACAATACAAAACTACAAGGTATCCATCCTAGCAAACAAACACGTTTTAACTTACCCTCACTTTCACGTCCCATAAAGCGATTAGCAGGTGCTCCACTAAAACTTCCAGATGTACCAAAGCGAGGTTCAAATGATGGTGGTGGCTGGGCATTAGGTCCACGAAAGGGCTGCCCTCCACGCATCATTTCTTGCTGCTGCTGCTGCTTTTGGAACCTGGGAGGTAACTTACTCTTGAACTGCGAGGAGAATACAGGCTGTTGGTCTCTTGGGCCATCTCGTCTGTCGTATGGACGTTCAAACTGGTCCCTTGAGTGATCCCGATAACTGTCCCTATAAGTCTCTCGTCTATCTTGATACTGCCGATAATCACGTCCACCATCACGACTTTGGGATTTCTCATCCCTAGTTTCACTATTGCCTCGTGAGCAACCAGGAACAGAATCAGTCTCTTCCCTTTCTCTTTCATCAACAAAATCACCACGAGTGTCCCATGGGTCCTTATGTTTCTTTCCAACACTCTTGGTTTGCTCATATCTTTTTTTCTCTTCGTAACGTTTCTCCTCCTCCTCATGGCGTTGCCGTGCTCGTTCAAGAGCAACCTGTACCTCATCCCCTGTAGCACGCTTTTCACGCCACATATCTTCCTCTTCACGGGGATGTGGTGCTGGGGAATGTGAGGGTGCATGTACAGGAAGTGAGGTAGTGTGCGTAGGAGGATGGACAGGATTTAGAGGAGAAGGATGTGAAGGTGTGTGTCCAGGATTATGTGAAGAATTAAGAGATGGTGTGAGAGATGAGGTATGTGAAGAACTGAGTTGTGAAGGACCACCCCTTAGTCCAGACCCTTGAAGACTACTGAAGTCCCTAGATGGACCTCTTTGATAATCATAATTTCTTTGTTGCTGCCATCTGCCCGATTCACCAGGCGAATATCGGCAATTATCAGGAGCCCGGCGGTCCTCCACAGTTTCTCGTTTACTCTCACGACCACGAGGACCCTGGTGAGCCCTGTCTCTTAATCCTGAGTCTCTCTCCTGTTCTCGTTCTCGTGATACAAGATGTTCATCGCGCCGTTCATCACTATCTCTAACGTCACGTATTCTTTCCTTTTCACACCGTTCACGCCTATCAGTCTTCCAGTCTAAATTGTGCTGCTTGCTGCTCTCCTCTTCTGCAGTTCCTTCATCTTCACTGAAGTTCAGTTTTTGGCTGAATAAAGGAAAAAAAAGTAAATGAATACTAAAGAAAAATTCAAGGTTGTTACTACACATTGGTAAGCAACAATTATCATAATGCACAACTTTATGAAGTAGTCATCTTGACAAGCAACAAAACTATCGGCAGAAAAGTGGGTTGGTGCAGGTATGAGTAGTGGGGGGTTGAAGAGGGTTGGAATAGTTTTAAAAATGCAGTATTAGAATGTGGGGCAGAAGTTCGTGGTTATAGGAGGGTGGGTGCAGGAGGAAAGAGGAATGATTGGTGGAATGATGAAGTAAAGGGTGTGATAAAAGCGAAAAAGGTAGCTTATGAGAGGTATTTACAAAGTAGAAGTGTTATAAGAAGAGTAGAGTATATGGAGAGTAAAAGAAAGGTGAAGAGTGTGGTGAGAGAGTGCAGAAGGAGAGCAGATGATAGTGGGAGAGGTACTGTCAAGAAATTTTAATGAAAATAGGAAAAAAATTTGGAGTTAAACAAGTTAAGAAAGCCTAGGGAACAAATGGAATTGTCAGTTAAAAACAGAGTAGGGGAGTTAGTAGATGGGGAGAGAGAGGTTTTGGGTAGATGGCGAGAATATTTTGAGGAACTTTTAAATTCGACGAAGAAAGGGAGGCAGTAATTTCATGCACTGGCCAGGGAGGTATACAATTTTTTAGGAGAGAAGAGGAGCATGATGTGAGTGTGGGGAAGGTGCGTGTGGCATTATGTAGAATGAAAGGGGGTAAAACAGTTGGAACTGACGGGATCATGACAGAAATGTTAAAAGCAGGGGACGACATAGTGTTGGAGTGGTTGGTATTTTTTATTAATAAATGTATGAAAGAGGGGAAGGTACCTAGAGACTGGCGGAAAGCGTATATAGACCCTTTATATAAAGGGAAGGGGGACAAAAGAGAAAAGTGTACGGTAGGGTTATTATTGAAAGAGTTAGAGGTAAGACAGAATGCAGAATTGCAGATGAGCAAGGAGGTTTTAGAGTGGGTAGGGGATGTGTAGATCAATTGTTTACACTGAAGCATATATATGAGCAGTATTTAGATAAAGATAAGGAAGTTTTTATTGCATTTATGGATTTAGAAAAGGCATATGATAGAGTGGATAGGGAAGCAATGTGGCAGATGTTGCAAGTACTATATGGAATAGGTGGTAAGTTACTAAATGCTGTAAAGAGTTTTTATGAGGATAGTGAGGTTCAAGTTAGGCTGTGTAGAAGAGAGGGAGACTACTTCCCGGTAAAAGTAGGTCTTAGACAGGGATGTGTAATGTCAACATGGTTGTTTAACATATTTATAGATGGGGTTGTAAAAGAAGTAAATGCTAGGATGTTCAGGAGAGGGGTGGGGATTAAATTATGGGGAATTAAATACAAAATGGGAAGTGACACAGTTACTTTTTACTGATGATACTGTGCTTATGGGAGATTCTAAAGAAAAATTGCAAAGGTTAGTGAACGAATTTGGGAGTGTGTGTAAAGGTAGAAAGTTGAAAGTGAACATAGAAAAGAATAAGGTGATCGAGAGTATCAAATGATTTAGATAAAGAAAAATTGGATATCAAATTGGGGAGGAGTATAGAAGAAGTGAATGTTTTCAGATATTTGGAAGTCGACGTGTCAGCGGATGGATTTATAAAGGATGAAGTTAATCATAGAATTGATGAAGGAAAAAAGGTGAGTTGTGCATTGAGGTATATGTGGAGGCAAAAAATGTTATCTATGGAGGCAATGAAGGGAATGTATGTAAGTATAGTAGTACCAATACTCTTATATGGGTGTGAAGCTTGGGTTGTAAATGCTGCAGCAAGTAGGTGGGTGGAGGCAGTGGAGATGTCCTGTCTAAGGGCAATGTGTGGTGTAAATATTATGCAGAAAATTCTGAGTGTGGAAATTAGAAGAAGGTGTGGAGTTAATAAAAGTATTAGTCAGAGGGCAGAAGAGGGTTTGTTGAGGTGGTTTGGTCATTTAGAGAGAATGGATCTAAGTAGAATGACATGGAGAGCGTATAAATCTGTAGGGGAAGGAAGGCAGGCTAGGGGTCGTCCTCGAAAAGGTTGGAGGGAGGGGGTAAAGGTAGTGTTGTGGGCGAGGGGTTTGGACTTCAAGCAAGCGTGCATGAGCATGTTAGATAGGAGTGAATGGAGACAAATGGTATTTGGGACCTGACGAGCTGTTGGAGTGTGAGCAGGGTAATATTTAGTGAAGGGATTCAGGAAAACCGGTTATTTTATATAACCGGACTCGAGTCCTGGAAATGGGAAGTACAATGCCTGCACTCTAAAGGAGGGGTTTGGTATATTGGCATTTTATAGGGATATATTGTGTATTTTTATATGTATATACTTCTAAACTGTTGTGTTCTGGGCACCTCTGCAAAAACAATGATTATGTGTGAGTGAGGTGAAAGTGTTGAATGATGATGAAAGTATTTTCTTTTTGGGGATTTTCTTTCTTTTTGGGTCACCCTGCCTCGGTGGGAGATGGCCGACTTGTTGAAAAAAAAAATGTATGACTACTCACAAAACTAATAACGCTATTGCAAATAAATCAGAGTGGATGGGACTCAAACCTATGGTAAGCGAATCCTCTAACTCACTGGTGTACAGAAATATACCTAATTGGATGAATCTTTTTAGGCCAAAATAGTCCAGTGGATAGCACACTGGCCTGCAAGTTGCAAGTTTTAGGACTTATTTGCCGTGGGTTTGAGCCCCTACTTGTTCTGCTATTTGTTCATTTCAAAGATTCTACAGCAGCAACATAATGAATAGACTATGATGTAGCTCTATTTAATTTTTTACAGAATTGTGCATAATGGTACATATATGAGTGACAATAATACAGTACTGGATAAGTTCTCTCCTTCTGCATTGGCTGTTTTCTAGTACACAGACATCCCAATTCAATTTACTCTCAAAGTTGCAACATCTACACCCTCTCTCAGACTGCATTCAATACTACCCATCTCCAGAACTCTTGTTCAACTAATTGGTGTTTATAAATCGTATATTACCTTAACACCTGCACCAAAGAACTCATGAAAAGAGAAGCACTGTAAAGGCCTACTGGCCATGTTATGTAAGTCCTACTTACTTTAAATACACTCCATAATCTACAACCCCATTGCAAAACTCATGTTTCTTCACACAAGAAAACATACAAAATGGAGCAATGTAACAGGCCTCATGGTCATGCTAAACAGGTGCTCCTCAAAACCCCTCTCCAAATTTCACTTATCTACAATTCTATTGCCAAACCAATGTTTTTCTACACTAAACGTAAGAGAAACATTGCAGTAGGCTCACTACTACATGCTAGGCAGGGCCTGCTACCCAAGCATTTCCATTCATGCCCCTCTTAACCCACTATCAAGGTACTTAATGTATTTGCTCCAATGACAAATGGGAACAGAGAAGCGAGTCGAGTGGCCAGAAACAAATATGCTAGGGTGAAGAAAAAGGCTGAGACACAAGAATGACATAACAGCAAAGGCCATGTCTGAACCAGAACTACTTCACAGCCACAACAGAAGAATGACAACAGTAAAGGACCAGGTAATTCAACTGAGGGAAGGAGGAAATCTCATGAACAAGTCCATGAAGTGTTGATAAAACGATTCAAAGAGGTCTTCTCAGTGGAAACTGAGGTAATACCAGAGAGATTAAGGAAAAGAGATTGACAAGTACTGGATACACTCCACACAACAGGGAAAGAGGTAAAGAAACTTTTGATGGATCTTTATACATTAAAAGCAACGACATTGTATCACCATGGATTCTGCGAGAGGGTGCAGAAGCACTATCTAAACCAACTAGCTATGATCTCACAATGTCAATGAATACAAGACAGCAAATGTAGTCCCTATATAAAAGATAGAAAACAAACAGGAGACATTAAACTACAAACCAGTTTCCCTAACATGCATACCTTGCAGTGTAATGCAAAAACTTTTCAGAGGGATAGTAGAAGAACACCTGGAGACAAGTGGTTTTATAAAAAATAAAAAGGATGGATTTAGGGATGACAAATCTAGATTTGTCTTAAAAGTTTAACTTGTTGGAGTTCTATGACAAAGTAACAGATGTGTCACATGAGGGGCTTGTGGTGGTTTGAATTCAACCCCATTAAATGCAAGATCATGAAAATTGGGGAAAGGAACAATAAGACTGGAAACAAGGTACATATAGACTAGGGGAACAGGCTGTAAACTTCAAAGAGGAAAACCTAGAGGTGAGCATATTATCCAATATATGGCCAAAGGTTCACACTGGCCAAGTAACCTCTGCAGCCAACGCTTGTCTGGCAAATCTAAGAGTAGCTTTCGGGAATCGCAACAGTCATTCCAGGGCATTTTTACAACATACGAAAGGCCCATCTTGGAGTATGCAGTGCCACTAAGGAACCTGCACCTGAAAAAGCTCATTAAGAAACTAAAGAAAATGCAGAAGTATGAAACGAGGCTTTATCCTGAGCTAAAGGGCATAAGCTATGAAGAGAGGCCAAAAAAAGTAATTAACAATACTGGAAAACAACCAGGGAGACATGATAATATACAAAATACAATGGAACCTCTACTTACGAGTTTAATCCGTTCCAAGACCTTGCTCGCAACTGGATTTGCTCGTTTGCAGAGTCAATTTTCCTTATTTAAATTAATTGAAATGGAATTAATTCGTTCCAGTGGAATTCCAGGCACGAGAAAATACTTTAATAATTTCCCTAATATCGACTCTACAGCTTATTTATCTATCACAATTCATGTAAAATGACATAATAAACTGTATTAATAACATAGAAACATGATATACACACTAGAATGAATAAAATACATGTCATTAGGTATGTGGCTAGTGATGGTGACAGCAGCTATTGTTGCTGGGGTTTATGGGGCCACCACAGCAGCCATTCCTGCTCCTGACTACATGTGTAGAGAACCTAGGATAACCCAAAAAAGTCAGAGTGACTTATAAGTGCTACACTCTTAATGCTACACTTTGCCACTGCTACTTCATGTTGTTTGCCACTGCTACCTCATGTTGTTTGCCACTGCTACCTCATGTTGTTTGCCACTGCTACCTCATGTTGTCTGCCACTGCTACCTCATGTTGTCTGCCACTGCTGCTTCATGTTGTCTGCCACTGCTGCTTCATGTTGTCTGCCACTGCTGCTTCATGTTGTCTGCCACTGCTGCTTCATGTTGTCTGCCACTGCTGCTTCATGTTGTCTGCCACTGCTGCTTCATGTTGTCTGCCACTGCTGCTTCATGTTGTCTGCCACTGCTGCTTCATGTTGTCTGCCACTGCTGCTTCATGCTGTCTGCCACTGCTACCTCATGTTGTCTGCCACTGCTACCTCATGTTGTCTGCCACTGCTACCTCATGTTGTCTGCCACTGCTACCTCATGTTGTCTGCCACTGCTACCTCATGATGTCTGCCACTACTACCTCATGATGTCTGCCACTACTGTTTCATGTTGTCTACCACTGCTACCTCATGTCTGCCACTGCTGCTTCATGTTGTCTGCCACTGCTACCTCATGCTGTCTGCCACTGCTACCTCATGTTGTCTACCACTACTACCTCATGATGTCTGCCACTGCTGCTTCATGTTGTCTGCCACTGCTACCTCATGCTGTCTACCACTGCTACCTCATGTTGTCTGCCACTGCTGCTTCATGTTGTCTGCCACTACTGCTTCATGTCTGCCACTGCTGTTTCATGTTGTCTGCCACTGCTACCTCATGTCAGCCACTGCTGCTTCATGTTGTCTGCCACTGCTGCTTCATGTTGTCTGCCACTGCTGCTTCATGTTGTCTGCCACTGTTGCTTCATGTTGTCTGCCCCTGCTACCTCATGATGTCTGCCACTGTTGCTTCATGTTGTCTGCCACTGCTCCCTGATGATGTCTACCACTGATGTTACCAAACAATCGAACATTTCTGATGTTTTGAGCTCAATTTCAAGGTATGTACTCTTCATCATGAAACCAATTAAAATCATATTTATTTTTGTAGTATATCTTCCATTCTATCACTTGAGACCAAATAAAACGAGAATACAACCATAAACACCATACGAAAATATACCGCTAAGGGAAGGCTAATGGTTGAGAAGTGAACTCTGTTATTTATGGTCCGATTTCTTTCATTTTTGGCGTACGTTAAGAAGCATCTTTTCATCATACATTGCCCAAGTTTCAATAAGATAGTCCAACAAACAACTGAGATCCAATTCCCTAGATCAAGAGAAAGAGCCCCCTCACCAGTGTCAATTAACCTCCCTTGAGGCCCACTCGCATCTGGAAATTTTGCTTGCGTTGAAGCAAAAAATCGACTGAGCAGCTGCTCGTATCTGGAAAAACTTGCACGTGGATGCACTCGCAAGGAGGTTCCACTGTACATGGGAATTGATAAGATAGATGGGGAGAGGCTGTTTGAGGAGAGAAACTGGAACTTGGGGACACCACTGGAAGTTAAAAATACCAATGAAACACATGGATGTTAGAAAGTATTTCTTCAGTCTCAAGAGTGGTTGGGAAATGGAATGATCTTGGTGAGGAAGTGATAGAGGCAGGCTACATACAGAGTTTTAAGAGCAGGATCAGTAGTGCCCAAAAGACTTATAAGGGAGTAAATCTGAAGAGTGCCAAATAAGAGGCAGGCTCAGGATCTGAGAAACAGCCTCTGCATCCACAAATAGAGAACTGCACACACATGTACACGCAAGAACACAGGTGCACACACTTTTATATAATTTTTTTTTTTACATTAAATGTCTCAACCGAAGTATGATGAATGAATATAGTTAGACTCGCCTTCATTCATTCAACAGCTGTCTTGTCAAAAGTGAGTGGCCATGACAATTCAAATTACAGTACTTTCTGAGATGCAAGATCTGCACACTCCTTCAGAGTGCAGACACTGCACTTCCCACTTCCAGGACTCAATCTCAGCTTACCAGGTTCCCTGAATCCATTGATCTTACCTTGGTCACACTACAAGAGAGCATTAACCCTTTTATTGTCCAGACCCCTCATCTGAAACTTGTCCAAGAACTTTCAAAAAATCTTATGAAATGGTAAAGAATCTTTTTCTGAAGGTAACAGAACAAAGTATGAAAATTTAAAAATTACTCCTTTGCTAATTTTGCCGTGTCAGCAATTCTGCCCTAAGTCCTATTCTAGGCCAATTACATTGTTCCAGTTGACCAAATTCTTAGCTATTTCGCTAGTATGTCTTCCATTTTATCAATTAAGCACAAGAAATTTCCAAATTAACTATTTCAACTACACAATAGTGATCAGAAATTGGTAATTTGGTCGAATTCACACAAATTTCAAAATATTCCAATTTCAAAATAGGTCCAGAATAAACAATGCAGGCATTCCTGGCACTAAAATAACATTTCCTCTTATCATTAGTTATATTTCCAGGCCTTACACATGAATTCCATTTGGATTTTTTATTCACACAATTTTTATTCGCAAAAAAAAAAAAATAGAAGATTTACTGTTATGCAATATTGTAATTATATAAATAATACCAGTGCATTCCTGAACACACATTAGACCCACCAGTTGACACGTACTGGATGCATGACATTAGACCCACCAGTTGACATGTAGTGGATGCATGACATTAGACCCACCAGTTGACATGTAGTGGATGCATGACATTAGACCCACCAGTTGACATGTAGTGGATGCATGACAATTTTTTTACTCTTGGAACATCAGGAAAAATCAGACATCTCTGCTACTTTGAGCTCAATTTAATATATCTTCCATTCTATCAAATGAGACCAAGAAACTGAGAATGCAACCATAAAAAACACATGTAAATACACTGCAAAGCTGACATTTTAAACCAAAAAAATGGTCAGTTTTTTTCTTATTATGCACTGCATGCTGCAGGATTTTTTAATATGGTGCACACTTACCACATAGACCCAGTCTCTCATATCTAGATCCAAATTTACTGCTCACAGCTTATCTGAGTGAGCTGAGCTCATCACGTAGTAATACAGCACAGGTAGCAAACTCAAAGGAATAGTACTATGGCACAGTCAGCAAAAGGGTTAAAGCCCCCTCTCCTTCCACAAAAAACAGAAAATGTAAGATACACAAAATATATTCTTAAGACCATAATTATAAAGTCAACATGCTTAGAATTTTAAAGTTAACTTACTTATAATCTACTTCTCCAGCAGTAGTTGCCCAGCCCTCAGCCACACAAGGATCATCCTCAAATCCCTCCAGTGCCTCTTTCTTAATAATAGGAGGTGGCAGAACAATATCCTCATCAGTAGAACCAGGAGGACCTCCACTTCCTCTGTACCTCTGGTCACGCACATAAGGGGGACGCTGATGACCAGGATAATTTGGTGGAAAACCTCCTGGGAAGTTACCACGCACCATCTGTCATAGGCAACGTAAGTGATATACAGAATGATACAAGTTTCTGAAGAAAATAATTAAATTACCTTATACCTTTCAAACTATGTACCTTCATGCACAGACTGTACTAATTGATCTCAATGAAAAAGAAAATTTTGGCACTTTTTAGAGAAGAAAATCTTACACATCCCTTCCAAAACACATTTGTGTTGTTGGGAAGGGATGGGTAAAAAGAAAGAATAATTTACCTATCTCAATTTCAAATGAGTGGATAATGAGGGCACAAAATAAAAAAAAATGAGTATATTAAGGAAAGTGGTAAGGCATACTAACAATGAATAAGAAGTTGAAGATAAAAAGGAATCACACACAGAAAAAGGGGTAGAAGGTGTTAAGAAAAAGAAAGGGCTTTGGTCTCCAGAAGGAGCAACAAGGTAAAGGAAGATGTGTTCCGTCTTGCTAGTGTGAACAAGTCTCCACTCGCATCTCTTTAAATTTCATGTGTAAAGGTCACAAATAAAAATAAGTTAGTATTAAAATATTTTAACGAAATAAACATTTTTAACAATACTTGTAAATAACAAAACTCATACAACAGTGTAATTCAACATGCCCCCAGCCCAGTGGCGGCTTGTCCAAAGGAGCTGCAGAGCTGCAGCCCCCCCAGATGCTCACTGCCAGACGTATCACTTCATCAACCTTACACTAAAATAATTTGCAATTGACAAATATATTACATGAAATATCTGTTGTATGTTGTTTTCCGTGTATTTATAAGTGAATTTTTAATATTTTGTTGAAACGAGATAAAAAAATTATTAAAAATAGAAGTTTCATGCGGTACAATAGTATAAGTATTACTGGCGCTATAAGCTGCCACTGCCCCAGCCCCCTTCCAATCTATCAAGTACAAACCTTTTGGCCAAGCTTCCTTGAATGCCTGTTCAAACAGGCAGTTGCTGTTAGCAGCCCACTTACTCACAAAGCCATCACAGCCTGATTGATCTGGCACTTGGCAGACAGTGATTCAGTTTCTTTTTCACTTCTACATTTGTTTCAGCAATATTTTTGACAAGTACTGGTAGCAGTTTAAAGTCTCAGACCATGAATGTTGACAGTGTTCTCTTTTTGTACCTATGGTGCCTCTGCTTGTCAATGATTATATTCAAACATTTCCTCCCGTATTTCTCATTCCTTTAAGTTCTGATGGTAGTATCTACATTTGAAACCAGGCCAAATAAAATCTCTTTCCTCTTTGCTCCAGGGAGTACATTAAAAATACAGCACTGTGATGCGTTCCCATTTAATGCTTTATTGACTGAGCAGTAAACAATCTCTGCACATTTTCCAGCCTGATGTCTCCTCTCCTTCAAACTGAGATGTGAGCACAGGACAATATTCTAGAGTAAGATCAAAGTTCTCTGAAGAATTATTGGTATTTTATCTTTTGTTTTGAAAGTTCTCAGCATCCACCTTGTTAATTTTCTGACTGCCATAGCAACTGATATTATTCAAAGTTTTTTATCAGTTTCTTATGTTTTATGAGATAATCCACCTGCATTTAATGTGCAGTGAAAATTTTTACTTCTTCATTCTTCCCATATCTAAGCAATTAAATCTGTCACCACTGAACACTGTCATTGTTATTTGTCATTGGAAGGCTCTGTTGCTATCCAAATGTAATTTTACTGTATCTTATCTTCTAACTGGGCCACTTTCAATCTTAACTTGCTATTATCTGCAAAAAATGATACAAAGCTATGACCTATTGTTTATCTGTCTGCCATGACAATGAGAAACAGTAAAGGTATTATGTATACCTGAAGAGTGTTTCTAGGCCCAATGCTCCACGGCCAGGTCCATGACCAGGTCTATTACTCCTATTAGAAATGTCAATATCATTTCCCCACCTTTCCTGTTTTATCTACTGCCTTCAATTTATGAGCTATTACTCCATGGTCATATTTGTCTTTTTTTTTTTTTTTTTAATACATGTTGGCTGTTTCCCACCGAAGCAGGGTGACCCAAAAAAGAAAAAAAAAACTTTCATCATCATTCAACACTTTCACCATTATTCATACATAATCAATGTCTTTGCAGAGCTGCTCAGATATGACAGTTAATATCTGAAACCCCTCCTTTAACCCTTTGAGGGTTTTCGTCGTACAAGTACGTCTTACGCGTAGGGGTTTTTGATGTACTAGTACGCATAAATTCTAGCGGCCTCAAATCTCGCGCGAAAAGGCTGGTAGGCCTAGGTGTGAGAGAATGGGTCTGCGTGGTCGGTGTGCGCGGTAGAAAAAAAAATCTGGGACCCAGTGGTGCATTGTGGGAATGCCCTCTTAGTAAACAATGTCCACCATGCCTCGCGGTAAGAAGCTCCTCACTCCTCGGCGAATTGGGACACTTTTGTTCCCCAGTGACAGTTCTAATAGTGATGGAAGTGCCAGTGAAGATGAGTTTCGTGGTTTTAGTGAGGTTTTGACCGAAACTAATGACCATAATATCGGTAATAGTGAAGAAAACCCAGACGACCCTCAGCCTTCCACCTCTGGTGCTGGGCCCTCGTGTTCACGTTCAGTTGTTCCAGAACCCAAGAGGAAACTTCTATTTTCCCAAATCCCAGACTCAGATGAGAGCATGGGTGATGATAGTGATAGTGAATATGAACTACAAGCTCTTCAAACTAGTTCCAGTAGTGATAGTGAAGTGCAATATTCCCCAGTGAAGCGTCAGTATATACGACAATATATGCGCTCTGGTAGTGTGCCATATGTTATACCAAGGGGAAGGAGTGTATCTCGGAGTACATCCCGTGGCTGTACAACAGGAACAGACAGTGAAAATGACAAAGATACTGTTGCAATTGGGATGGAAAATGTGCGTGGTGGTAGTGGTGCCGGCGGTGAGGCACCAGCAGTGGGCCATGCTGCCACCCACGCTGCCACCCACGCCGCTGCCTCAGCTGATCTAGAACAAAGGCCACCACCCCCCACTCCCCCACCACACCAGCCTCCACAACCACAACCTCCACAACCACAACCACCTGTCATTGTCCAGTACCCACCAGCAGACCGCACCTGGGATTGGCAGGAAGCTGTCAATTTTGTTCCAAATCCCCACCAGTTTGATGGCAGCCAAAGTGGAATACGGCCATCTTGTGCACTTGGGAACAATGCCACTGAACTGGAATGTTTCGAGTTATTCTTTGACGAACCACTGATGAAAAGTATTGTCATGGAAAGCAACACATACTACGAGTACACCATGGCAAAACACATTACTTTCACCAAAATCACGTCTACACCCAGTGGAAGGAGGCAACTGTGGCTGAGATGTATCTTTTCTTTGCCACAATAATGCTTATGCCACATGTGTATAAGCACAAAGTGAAATCATACTGGTCAACAGACCCCCTGATTGCAACACCAGGTTTCAGTGATATAATGCCAGTGAATCGATTTGTGCTAATGTTACGTATGCTTCACTTCTCAGATAAAACCAGGCCTGACAGAACTGACAGGTTATATAAGATTAGGAATGTGTTTGTGTATCTGAAACAGAAATTCAGTACGCATTTTTATCCCTTCAGGAAGCTTGTAATTGACGAGTCTTTGATTCTGTTCAAAGGAAGACTCTCTTTCAAGCAGTACATACCAAGCAAGAGGAAACGCTTTGGTATAAAGTTGTTTGTGCTTTGTGATTGTTACAGTGGTCTGGTATTGGATATTATTGTGTACACTGGAAGTTATACATTGCAAAATACCAGGAAGTTACTGGGCATCTCAGGTGATGTGGTTCGAACAATGATAGAACCATACCTTGGTAAGGGCATATATTATATACAGATAACTGGTACACAAGCCCCTCACTCAGTGATTTTTTGCGAGTGAACATGACAGATGTGTGTGGCACAGTGTGTGCAAATCGAAAACATATGCCCAGGTTTGACGCTGGCACTCGTAGAGGTGAGGTGCAGGCGTTTGCTGCCAATGACATCATGGCATTTCGGTGGCATGACAAACGAGATGTCACACTGTTGTCATCAATTCACCCTAATGAAATGGCAGACAGTGGCAGGCAGCATAGAGAGAGAAATGAACCCATTCTAAAACCTGCAGCTGTGATTGATTACACCTTCAACATGCATTCAGTGGACAAATATGACATGCAGATTGGGTTTGCTGATTGTGTTCGCAAGAGTTATAAGTGGTACATCAAACTGTTTTTCCATCTTCTGGACATTTCCATGCTCAATGCTTATAATATGTATAAGATGAGCACCAGAAACAAACCACAGTACGGCGAATTCTGTTTGTCTGTCATCAGACAAATAGTATTCAAGTACCAAGGAACAGCACCTGCAATTGACCGCCCACCAAATTATCAACAACTACCTGCTCGTCTGAAGCATGGAGATCACTTCCTGGTAAAACTGCCTGCTACTGCTTTGAAGAAAAAGGCTCAGAAGAGGTGTTACGTCAGTGCACATACAAAAAAACGCACACAACAACGCAGAGACACTCGTTTTATGTGTGAGGAGCACAAAACTCCACTGTGCATGACACCATGTTTCAAAGACTTCCACAGGCTGCAGAACTTCTAGAAACATTCCCTGTGACTGTATATGTGTATATAAAATATAGAAAAATAGTAATAAACAACATTTCATATCGTTTGTTTGTGTAAATATTTTCTGTAAACAAAATAATGACAACAGTGTTTATGCCCTTATTGTGTAGTATTGAAAAAGAAATAACTTACAAAATACTGATCATGTTGGCCTCAGAGGCCATAAAAGTTACTCAGAAAAAGAAAAATTGAAAAATAATTGAAAATAGTACATAAAAAAGTAAATAGAAAAATACCGGGTGACGGCAGTCGGCGATGTTACCATATGTTGTTCAATTTTGGCAAATTTCACACCTCCATATCTCAGTAAGTATTGACGTTAAAATTTTTTTGTTTAGCCTATAATGTTTAGAAAAAAAAAACTTTTTTCATAAGAAATAATAATTTTTTTTTTTTGAAATTTGGCCGACCCTGAGAACGAGTTTCGGAGAGGGCCTGTCGACCCTCAAAGGGTTAAAGGGCAGGCATTGTACTACCCAATTCCAAGACTCAAGCCCAGCTAACCAGTTTCCCTGAATCCCTTCACAAAATATTGCCCTGCTCACACTCCAACAGCTCATCAGATCCCAAACACAATGTCTCCATTCACTCCTTACACACTCATGCACACTTGCTGGAAGTCCAAGCCCCTCACCCACTAAACCTCCTTTACCCCCTCCCTCCACTCTTTCCTAGAATGACCCTGCCTTCCTTCCCATAAAGATTTAGAGGCTCTTCAAGTCATTCTACTTTGTTCCATTCTCTCTAAATGACCAAACCACCTGAACAACCCCTCTTCAGCTTTCTGACTAATACTTTTAGTAACTCCACACCACCTCCTAATTTCCACACTACGAATTCTCTGCATAACATTTACACCACACATTGCCCTTAGACATGACATCTCCACTGCCTCGAGCCTCCTCCCTGCTGCAGCATTTACAACCCATGCTTCACACCCACATAAGAGCGTTGGTACCACTATATTCACATACATTCCCTTCTTTGCCTCCATGGAAATGTTTTTTTTTGTCTCCACAGATACCTCAAAGCACCAATCTTTCCTCCTTAAGCCACGAGTGTTGTAAAACTCAACTAAATTGCCGAGAGCAACGGGCTAGTAACCCTTTTGGATTCTAAGCTCCTCCAAAGAACAGTGATGCTCATGTTAATGGTATTTTCCATATCTTTAAAAATACCAAATTCCAGAAATTAGGCCTCGAAGCTGAGTGCATAAGCCTGTTGTCTATTTCTTTTTCAAAGTCTTAAGAATTTGTGCTAATGTGTGAGACACAATTTACAGGCTGGGCAGAGAGAATGAAAACATTATCCAGGTCTTCAATTCACACAGAGCCGATTGGATTGGAAAACAACAGTTTATCCTTTTCTTTTACGATTTCTTTGTCAGCTGTACATTAATGCCCGTTACTAGAAGGCCAATACATGGCTCAAATTTTGCATAAGAAAAGTGTTGAGGATTTTCCCAATTTCCTGAATTTTTGGTGGGGATGGGGGGTCCTTTTGCTTTTCTTCTGGCTGGAATAAGTGTTAAATTATAATTTTTTCACTTTAAGTACTATATCTATTATATTGTATTATTATTATATTATATTATTTGGACAATGCCTGCACTTTAAAGGAGGGGTTTGGGATATTGGCAGTTTGGAGGGATATGTTGTGTATCTTTATACGTATATGCTTCTAAACTGTTGTGTTCTGAGCACCTCTGCAAAAACAGTGATTATGTGTGAGTGAGGTGAAAGTGTTAAATGATGATGAAAGTATTTTCTTTTTAAGGATTTTCTTTCTTTTTGGGTCACCCTGCCTCGGTGGGAGACGGCCGACTTGTTGAAAAAAAAATCTATTAAAAAATTTTTTATAAGAATTGGGATGGACTAAGCTCTATGTACGCTTCCTGACACAAAGTACATAAAAGACAAAACCATATAACCAACAAAGCTGACCAGGTAATAAAATATTACTGCAGTATGAAAATATAAACCATACTTACATATGGGGGTGTGACTCCCCTGAACTGATGGGACTGGGGTCCATGGGTTGCAACTGGTCCCATGGGACCGATGGGACCTCCTGGCACCATTGGAGGCCCACCAGGTGGGGTTCCTCTTGGTCCCATTCCCCCAGAGCGATTTGGGGGAAGCACCTCTCCTATAAACACAATAATGTCACTATTAATATCAGAAAGATCAGTGTGGCAATGAGACATCTTCCAATACTTTCTATACAAAATTAACCCTCAAACTACCGATCACAAATTTAGGCCAACTAGGAAAATGCTACTGATGTAAATTTATTCAAATTCTAGAGCTGCTAAAATGGCCACAATTGGCCTAGTTAGGCCTATATCACAGAAAATTGGTTGGCGCTGTTGTTGTTCAGTTTTAAAAAATTGTGTTGTGTGCTTGGCATTGTGGAAGTAAGTAGATGTCATTATATTTGTTTACAACATACAACAATTGAGAATTACTAATTCCAGAGATTAACTCCTTGCATTGTCCCACACATTTCTGTATTGTGGGGCATGTGTATCTTTTTATTGTTTTTTTTTTATTATTATTAACACACTGGCCGATTCCCACCAAGGCAGGGTGGCCCGAAAAAGAAAAACTTTCACCATCATTCACTCCATCACTGTCTTGCCAGAAAGGTGCTTTACACTACAGTTTTTAAACTGCAACATTAACACCCCTCCTTCAGAGTGCAGGCACTGTACTTCCCATCTCCAGGACTCAAGTCCGGCCTGCCGGTTTCCCTAAACTCCTTCATAAATGTTACTTTGCTCACACTCCAACAGCACGTCTAGTATTAACCCCTTCAGGGTCCAAGGCCCAAATCTGAAGTGGTGCCCCAGTGTCCAAGACTTTAAAAAAAAAAAATTTGTTATTTTTTCTTATGAAATGGTAGAGAATCTTTTTGTGAAGGTAATAAAACAAAAAGTACGAAATTTGATGGAAAATTGACGAAATTATGCTCTCGCGAATTTTGATGTGTCAGCGATATTTGCGAATCGGCAATTTTGCCGACTTTGACTCCCATTTTAGGCCAATTACATTATTCCAGTCAACCAAATTCTTAGCTATTTCCCTAGTATTACTTCTATTCTATCGATTGAGCACAAGAAATCGCCAAGTCAACTGTTTCAACTACAAATTAAAGTGATTGGAAATTGTTAATTTGGCCAATTTAACACAAAGTTCAAAATATTCCAATTTCAAAATAGGTCCAGAATAAACAATGTAGGTATTCCTGGAACTAAAACTAACATTTCCTCTGTTCATTAGTTACGTTTATGAGCTTTACAAATAAATTCCATTTTGATTTTTTATTCACATAATGAATTTTTATTCACACCAAAAAATAGAAGATTTACTGTTATGCAATACTGTAATAATTGCATAAATATCATCACCATATTTGTGAATGCATATTAGACCCACCAGCTGGCGTGTATTAGACGTGTGAGGTCGTTTGTTTACTCTTGAATATCGGCAAAAATTTAACATTTCTGCTACTTTTAGCTCAGCTTCAAGCCATTTCCAGTGCGAAAACCAATCAAAATCATCTCGACTTCTGTAATATGTTTTCCATTCTATCAAATGAGACCAAGAAATCGCAAATACAACTATAAAAAACATATGAAAAAACACTGCAAAGTCGCTGTTTTAATCGAAAAATCATGATTTCAGTTTTTTTCTCTCATGACACACAGCGTGCTGCAGGATCTGTTTTATGTGGTGCACACATACCACATAGATGTATTCTCTCACATCTAGGCCCAAATGTACCACTCACAGTTTATCAGAGTGAGCTGAGCTCATGACGTAGATCTACGGTTTGGACCCTGAACCTAAAGCCGTAGATCTACGGGACGGGCCCTCAAAGGGTTAAAAACCATTTGTCTCCATTCACTCCTATCAAACACGCTCACGCATGCTTGCTGGAAGTCCAAGCCCCTCGCACACAAAACTTCCTTTACCCCTTCCCTCCAACCTTTCCTAGGCTGACCCCTACCCCGCCTTCCTTCCACTACAGACTGATACACTCTTGAAGTCACTCTGTTTCGCTCCATTCTCTCTACATGTCCGAACCACCTCAACAACCCTTCCTCAACCCTCTGGACAACAGTTTTGGTAATCCTGCACCTCCTCCTAACTTCCAAACTATGAATTCTCTGCATTATATTCACACCACACATTGCCCTCAGACATGACATCTCCACTGCCTCCAGCCTTCTCGCTGCAACATTCATCACTCATGCTTCACACCCATATAAAAGCGTTGGTAAAACTATACTCTCATACATTCCCCTCTTTGCCTCCAAGGACAAAGTTCTTTGTCTCCACAGACTCCTAAGTGCACCACTCACCCTTTTCCCCTCATCAATTCTATGATTCACCTCATCTTTCATAGACCCATCCGCTGACACGTCCACTCCCAAACATCTGAATACAGTGGACCCCCGCATAACGATCACCTCCGAATGCAACCAATTATGTAAGTGAATTTATGTAAGTGCGTTTGTACATGTATGTTTGGGGGTCTGAAATGGACTAATCTACTTCACAATATTCCTTATGGGAACAAATTCGGTCAGTACTGGCACCTGAACATACTTCTGGAGTGAAAAAATATCGTTAAACCGGGGGTCCACTGTACATTCACCTCCTCCATACTCTCTCCCTCCAATCAGATATCCAATCTTTAATCACCTAATCTTTTTGTTATCCTCATTACCTTACTCTTTCCTGTATTCACTTTTAATTTTCTTCTTTTGCACACCCTACCAAATTCATCCACCAACCTCTGCAGCTTCTCTTCAGAATCTTCCAAGAGCAGTGTCATCAGCAAAGAGCAACTGTGACAACTCCCACTTTATGTGTGATTCTTTATCTTTTAACTCCACACCTCTTGCCAAGACCCTTGCATTTACTTCTCTTACAATCCCATCTATAAATATATTAAACAACCACGGTGACATCACACATCCTTGTCTAAGGCCTACTTTTACTGGGAAATAATTTCCCTTTCCTACATACTCTAACTTGAGCCTCACTATCCTCGTAAAAACTCTTCACTGCTTTCAGTAACCTACCTCCTACACCATACACCTGCAACATCTGCCACATTGCCCCGCTATCCACCCTGTCATACGCCTTTTCCAAATCCATAAATGCCACAAAGACCTCTTTAGCCTTATCTAAATACTCTTCACTTATATGTTTCACTGTAAACACCTGGTCCACACACCCCCTACCTTTCCTAAAGCCTCCTTGTTCATCTATCCTATTCTCCGTCTTACTCTTAATTCTTTCAACAATAACTACCATACACTTTACCAGGTATACTCAACAGACTTATCCCCCTATAAGTTTTGCACTCTCTTTTGTCCCCTTTGCCTTTATACAAAGGAACTATGCATGCCCCTCTGCCAATCCCTAGGTACCTTACCCTCTTCCATACATTTATTAAATAATTGCACCAACCACTCCAAAACTATATCCCCACCTGCTTTTAACATTTCTATCTTTATCCAATCAATCCCGGCTGCCTTACCCCCTTTCATTTTACCTACTGCCTCATGAACTTCCCCCACACTCACAACTGGCTCTTCCTCACTCCTACAAGATGTTATTCCTCCTTGCCCTATACACGAAATCACAGCTTCCCTATCTTCGTCAACATTTAACAATTCCTCAAAATATTCCCTCCATCTTCCCAATACCTCTAACTCTCCATTTAATAACTCTCCTCTCCTATTTTTAACTGACAAATCCATTTGATCTCTAGGCTTCCTTAACTTGTTAATCTCACTCCAAAACTTTTTCTTATTTTTAACAAAATTTGTTGATAACATCTCACCCACTCTCTCATTTGCTCTCTTTTTACATTATCTTCACCACTCTCTTAACCTCTCTCTTTTTCTCCATATACTCTTCCCTCCTTGCATCACTTCTACTTTGTAAAAACTTCTCTATATGCTAACTTTTTCTCCCTTACTACTCTCTTTACATCATCATTCCACCCAAACGCTCCTCTTCCCTCCCGCACCCACTTTCCTGTAACCACAAACTTCTGCTGAACACTCTAACACTACATTTTTAAACCTACCCCATACCTCTTCGACCCCATTGCCTATGCTTTCATTAGCCCATCTATCCTCCAATAGCTGTTTATATCTTTCCCCAACTGCCTCCTCTTTTAGTTTATAAACTTCACCTCTCTCTTCCCTGATGCTTCTATTCTCCTTGTATCCCATCTACCTTTTACTCTCAGTGTAGCTACAAAATAGAAAGTGATCTGATATATCTGTGGCCCCTCTATAAACATGTACATCCTGAAGTCTACTCAACAGTCTTTTATCTACCAAATACATAATCCAACAAACTACTGTCATTTCGCCCTACATCATATCTTGTATACTTATTTATCCTCTTTTTCTTAAAATATGTATTACCTATAACTAAACTCCTTTCTATACAAAGTTCAATCAAAGGGCTCCCATTTTCATTTACACCTGGCACCCCAAACTTACCTACCAAAACCTCTCTAAAAGTTTCTCCTACTTTAGCATTCAGGTCCCCTACCACAATTACTCTCTCACTTGGTTCAAAGGCTCCTATACATTCACTTAACAGTTCCCAAAATCTCTCTCTCTCCTCTACATTCCTCTCTATTCTCCAGCTGCATACACGCTTATTATGACCCACTTTTCGCATCCAACCTTTACTTTAATCCACATTATTCTTGAATTTACACATTCATATTCTCTTTTCTCCTTCCATAACTGATCCTTCAACATTACTGCTACCCCTTCCTTTGCTCTAACTCTCTCAGATACTCCAGATTTAATTCCATTTATTTCCCCCCACCGAAACTCCCCTACCCCCTTCAGCTTTGTTTCGCTTAGGGCCAGGACATTCAACTTCTTTTCGTTCACAACATCAGCAATCATCTGTTTCTTGTCATCCGCACTACATCTTCAGATAAAATATGCCCCTTGCCAAGATATAGTACCATTATTCTCATGACAACAGCAGCAGATAAGTTTTTTTTTTTTTTTTTGACTGTGTACACAATAATACCATACATTACACTATACACCAATAACCCACATACACGAGACGAATGTATGACAATATTTCGGTCTAACCTGGACCATTAACCCCTTGAGAGTCGAGACCCCTGCTCGCAAACTTGCTCATAGTGTAGAAGATTTAACTCCTTAATGGTCCAAATGTAGGTCTATGCTCTCTTGCACAGCACTCTGAATATTTTGAAAAAAAAAAAAATTAAAATAAAAAGGGCATTTTTCTACATGGAGGCAACAGAGTCCTGCCACTTACAGAAATGTTACCGATATACCTTTTTCTTTCTCTTTTCTGAATTTATAAAATTTTTATGTTTTGATAATTACAATTTGTAGTAGTTCTTGTGATTTCATAGGCAATCTTTGTTCTGACATTAATATTAGGTATTGAAATAATACTCAAATAGTCACAAGCTCCACTGCTGACAGTGCAGCAATGGAGTGACACTTGATGATCGAGCACTGCCTTGGCTTTGTTTGTTTTCAATGTTACAAAAACATGTCTGTATGCCTGTCTAGCACTCTGTTTATCTGTCTTTCTGTCTCTGTCTACTTTTCTCTGTCACAGAGCCACTCGTGAACCAATAAGTATTACACACAATGCAGAGTCACCACGACTGATTCCTGAATAAGTGAAAATGCGTATTACTTACCAGCCATGTTTATTATGCGTTATGTCTACAAGCATAGTATAGCACTTTGTCCGGATTTTTTGGGGTTATCCTAGGTAGTTTACACTATACATGTACATAGTATTTATAGGTTTCAGCAATGTTTTAGACATGCTGGAGTATATATGAAATTCCTTGAAGCATGGTGTAAGACGAGTGTCACTCCACTGCTGACAGTGCAGTGTCCTGTCCTGGCACTGACTCTTCCTTTTCAGCTATGTAAATCATCTTGGGCATTTTCTTCCAGAAGATGCCTGTTTGGTCACAAACACTTGTTGGGGGACAAACCCCTCAGCCTTTATGTACTCTTCAAATTCAGTAACACTTCAACAGCCACTTCATCAGTACTGGCAACCTCCCCATGCTTAGCCATACTATGAATGCCACTTTTCGTAAAATTATCAAACCAACCCCTACTAGCCTTGAAGGATTGAGTTTCAGCAATTGTTCCGGGGTGTTTTTCAGATCATGCAACTGCCTCGTTTTTTCACAAATAATGACTCCTAGGGAGGGGAAAGGCGAGAGAGCGGGGATTTTTTTTTTTTTTTTTTTTTTTTTTTGTAAAAGGAGAGTAGGGTGTGTATGCTTCTTTTTTCCCCTTCGGAAAAAATTAAAGCCAGTTTTTTTTTTTTTTTATATATGGCACCAAAACTGCAAAATAACAAAAAAGTTTACAAGACACACAACAAAAGCTCAAGAGATGTTTACAGCACGAGAGTTAGTGAGCACATGACCTGAGCCATTCACATTTCAGTTGACAACGAAGACAACGTATGAAAACCAGGACATTTTTCTCTTGAATTCCTAGTTTGAAAACCAATTTGTTCAACAAGTAATGTAGTCAACAACCAAGGTTCCACTGTAATCACATCCTGATATTTATGCTTCACCATGTAGGTATAGTTTATTATTGACAGTACAGTGGAACCTCGGCCTACGAACTTTATCCGTTCCTTGACCTTGTTCGTATCCTGATTTGTTCGCATGCTGAGTCAATTTTCCTCATTTAAATTAATTGAAATGCAATTAATCCATTCCAGCCTCTCAGGAGGCATGACAAAATAATGCTAATATCAACTCTACAACTTAGTTATCTATCACAATTCATCTAATATGACATAATAAACAATACCCTAACCTCAGCCTCACTATCCTTATAAAAACTCTTTACAGCATTTAATAACTTACCACTTACTCCATATACTTGCAACATCTGCCATATTGCTCCCCTATTCACTATCATATGCCTTTTCTAAATCCATAAATGCAATAAAAACTTCCCTACCTTTATCTAAATACTGTTCACATATATGCTTCAATGTAAATACTTGATCTACACATCCCCTATGCACTCTGAAACCTCCTTGCTCATCCGCAATCCTACATTCTGTCTTACCTCTAATTCTTTCAATTATAACCCTACCGTACACTTTTCCTGGTATACTCGGTAAACTTATTCCTCTATAATTTTTACAATCTCTTTTGTCCCCCTTCCCTTTATATAAAAGGACTATACATGCTCTCTGCCAATCCCTAGGTACCTTCTCCTCTTTCATACATTTATTAAACAAAAGTACCAACCACTCCAACATTTCTGTCATGATCCTGTCAGTTCCAGCTGCTTTACCCCCTTTCATTCTACATAATGCCTCACACACCTCCCCCACACTCACATCCTGTTCTTCTTCACTCCTAAAAGATGGTATACCTCCCTGGCTGTTGCATGAAATTACCGCTTCCCTTTCTTCGTTGACATTTGAAAGTTTCTCAAAATATTCTCGCCATCTACCCAAAACCTCCATCTCCCCATCTACTAACTCTCCTACTCTGTTTTTAACTGACAAATCCATTCCTTCTCTAGGCTTTCTTAACTTGTTAAACTCACTCCAAAATTTTTTCTTATTTTCATTAAAATTTCTTGACAGTGCCTCTCCCACTCTATCATCTGCTCTCCTTTTGCACTCTCTTCACCTTTCTTTTACTCTCCATGTACTCTGCTCTTCTTATAACACTTCTGCTTTGTAAAAACTTCTTATAAGCTAACTTTTTCTCTTTTATCACACCCTTTACTTCATCATTCCACCAATCACTCCTCTTTCCTCCTGCACCCACCTTCCTATAACCACAAACTTCTGCCCCACATTCTAATACTGCATTTTTAAAACTATTCCAACCCTCTTCAACCCTGGCACTACTCATACTTGTACCAGCCCACCTTTCTGCCAATAGTTGCTTGTATCTCACCCAAACTTCCTCCTCCCTTAGTTTATACACTTTCACCTCCCTCTTGCTTATTGTTGCCATTTTCCTCTTGTCCAATCTACCTCTTACTCTAACTGTAGCTACAACTAAATAATGATCCGATATCTCAGTTGCCCCTCTATAAACGTGTACATCCTGGAGCCTACCCATCAGCCTTTTATCCACCAATACATAATCTAACAAACTACTTTCATTACGTGCTATATCATACCTTGCATATTTATTTATCCTCTTCTTCATAAAATATGTATTACTTATTACCAAACCTCTTTCTATACATAGCTCAATTAAAGGCTCCCCATTTTCATTTACCCCTGGCACCCCAAATTTACCTACTACTCCCACCACAACATTTTTACCCACTTTAGCATTGAAATCCCCAACCACCATTACTCTCACACTTGGTTCAAAACTCTCCACGAATTCACTCAACATTTCCCAAAATCTCTCTCCCCTCTACACTTCTCTCTTCTCTAGGTTCATATATGCTTATTATAACCCACTTTTCACATCCAACCTTTATTTTACTCCACATAATCCTTGAATTAATACATTTATAGTCCCTCTTTTCCTGTCATAACTTATCCTTCAACATTATTGCTACTCCTCCTTTAGAAATAAATATTTTATTTATTTATATGTTTATTTAAGGAACCTCCCTTGAGGGGGAAGTTCACATCCTGAAATTTCATTTGTATCCGGAAGCAAAAAATCAACCAAACGACAGTTCGTATCCTGAAAAATTCGCATAGTAGGGTGTTCGTAGGAGGAGGTTCCACTGTAATTATCCACTTAAAAAATGGTTAATAAATCATAACTTTCATATTCCTATTCCACTAAATGAACCTCTTTAGGATAAACTTGCTACATTTGTTTTTAATTTTGTAATCTATAATCATAATAATTATTAGTTTTTTATTACTTTTGAAAAAGAAAATATCTAACCATTAAATGTACTTGTAGTCTGTGGACTGGGCAAGCGATCATCCTGCGGCAGCTGCGCCACTCCACGACCCCCACCCTGGATCCAGCTGCCCTCCGCTGCAGGAGAAATTTTCTGATTAAATATAATAGGTTCAGCAAGTGAGAACAAATGGAAATTGACTTCAAATATTAACCCTTTGACTGTCGAAGGGCCAAATCCTGAAGTTGCTTCTGGTGTCGCAAAATATTCGAAAAAAAAAAAATTATTTTTTCTTATGAAATGATAGAGAATCTTTTCCCGATTGTAAAGACACCAAAAAAACGAAATTTGATGGAAAACTGACGGAATTACGCTCTCGCGAAGTTAGCGACTTCGGCGATATTTAAAAATTGGCAATTTCGCCCACTTTGAGCCCCATTTTCGGCTAATTCCGTTATTCCAGTCAACCAAACTCATAACTATTTCTTCAGAACTCTATTTTTTCTATCGATTGAGTACAAGAAACTGCCCATTTACCGATTTCAACTACCCAATAACATGGTCAGAAATTTGCAATTTGGCCAATTTCACGAAAATTAAAAAATACGACAATTTCAAAATAAGGTCCAGAATGAACAATGCAGACATTCCTGGCTCTAAAATAACATTTTCTTTGTTCATCAGTCATGTCTCCAGGTCCTGTGATATTACTCTTGCTTTTTATTTTGAAATTTTATTCAAACAAAAAATAGAAGATTTACTGTTATGCAGACTACTGCAATACTGTAATAATTGTAAAAATTACATCAACCCATTCATGACTGCGTATTAGAATGGCTATTTGGACATTTATGGACAATGACATCATTTGTTCACTTTTGAACATCGGCAAAAATCAAACATTTCCTGTACTTTGTGCTCCATTTCCAGGTTCTTTTTATAGTAAAATTAATCAAAATCACCTCCATTTCTATAATATAGTTTCCATTCTATCAAATGAGACCAAGAAAACGAGAATACAACCACAAATACTATACGAAAATAGACCACAAAGTCGGCATTTTAATTAAAAAAAACGGTCGGAGTTTTTTTTTTCTCATTATGCACTGCTTGCTCCAGGATTTTTTTTATGTGGTGCACACTGACCACACAGACCCATTCTCTCACATGTGGGCCTACTAGCTTTCTCCTGCCTGATTTGAAGCCTCTAGAATTTATGAGTATATATACGTCAAACACGGTACCTCGCAAACGTATATATACGGCCGCGACAGTCAAAGGGTTAATATTCATTTGATATTCCATTTCCGATTAAATTAAGAGCACTGATCAATTAGGATATGAATTAATTTACAATTGCTTAATGCTAGTAAAATCAGGAATGAAGCAGCAGCAAAAAAAAAAAAAAAAAAAAAACCCACTGCAGACACTTTCCACAAATGAGTCAAGTAACAAGAAAATTTTAGAAAAATGTGGTATTACAGAAGTAATGTCCCACAATGCCAGAGTGTTCAAAATAATGTCAATGTTACAAAACTACATTATCAATAATAACACTGCTTTCAATTCGTTGACTAGTGAATTACACTTATCTTTGTACACATAGTAAAATGTTAAAAATTACATAAAAAACAAGGCCATATATACAATCTGAGAAGACACAAAAATAGAAGTCACGTTTCCCATACACTGGGCCTAAACTATATACTGACCTCAGTACACGTGGCAGATGACTTTCTCGGTAGTAAACAATTTTATACCATCTCTTCTAGCCTTTCTCCAAACATATTTATGTTAGTCATTATTATACATAACAGAACATATTTAAAAAACATCTTTTTTTTAATGTTCTGAGTGAACGGCAAAAATTTTTTTACATCTTTCCCTACACTATTTGCAGGTAAGTGTCTGAAATATCTATGGCATTAGGACCAGATGAAACACATTCACTAAATATTACCCTGCTCACACTCCAACAGCTCGTCAGATCCCAAATACCATTTGTCTCCATGCACTCCTATCTAACACGCTCACGCATGCTTGCTGGAAGTCCAAACCCCTCGCCCACAACACCTCTTTTCCCCCTCCCTCCAACCTTTTCGAGGACGGCCCCTACCCCGCCTTCCTTTCCCTACAGATTTATACGCTCTCCATGTCATTCTACTTTGATCCATTCTCTCTAAATGACCAAACCACCTCAACAACCCCTCTTCAGCCCTCTGACTAATACTTTTATTAACTCCACACCTTCTCCTAATTTCCACACTCCGAATTTTCTGCATAATATTTACACCACGCACATTGCCCTTAGACAGGACTTCTCCACTGCCTCCAACCGCCTCCTCGCTGCAGCATTCACAACCCAAGCTTCACACTTATATAAGAGTGTTGGTACTATTATACTTTCATACATTCACTTCTTTGCCTCCATAGATAACATTTTTTGCCTCCACATATACCTCAATGCACGACTCACCTTTTTTCCTTTATCAATTCTGTGATTAACCTCATCCTTCATAAATCCATCCGCTGATACGTCAACTCCCAAATATCTGAAAACTTTCACTTCTTCCATACTCCTCCTCCCCAATTTGATATCCAATTTTTCTTGATCTATATCATTTGATACCCTTATCACCTTATTCTTTATATGTTCACTTTCAACTTTTTACCTTTACACACACTCCGAAATTCATCCACTAACCTTTGCAATTTTTCTTTAGACTCTCCCATAAGCACAATATCATCAGCAAAAAGTAACTGTCTCTCTTCCAATTTTGTATTTAATTCCCCATAATTTAATCCCACCCCTCTCCCGAAAACCATATAATTTACTTCTTTTACAACCCCATCTATAAATATATTAAACAACCCTGGTGACATTACACACATCTGTCTAAGAGCTACTTTTACCGGGAAGTATTCTCCCTCTCTTCTACACACCCTAACCTGAGCCTCGCTATCCTCATAAAAACTCTTTACAGCATTTATTAACTTACCACCTATTCCATATACTTGCAACATCTGCCACACTGCTCTCCTATCCACTATCATATGATTTTTCTAAATCCAGAAATGCAATAAAAATTTCCCTACCTTTATCTAAATACTGTTCACATACATGCTTCAATGTAAACACGAGATCTACACATCCCCTACCCACTCTAAAACCTCCTTGCTTATCTGTAATTCTACATTCTGTCTTACCTCTAATTCTTTCAATAATAACCCTACCATACACTTTTCCTGGTATACTCAGTAAACTTTTTTTTTTTTTCAACAAGTCGGCCGTCTCCCATCAAGGCAGGGTGACCCAAAAAAAGAAAATCCCCAAAAAGAAAATACTTTCATCATCATTCAACACTTTCACCTCACTCACACACAATCACTGTTTTTGCAGAGGTGCTCAGAACACAACAGTTTAGAAGCATATACGTATAAAGATACACAACATATCCCTCCAAACTGCTAATATCCCAAAACCTCTCCTTTAGAGCGCAGGCACTGTACTTCCCATTTCCAGGACTCAAGTCCGGCTATATAAAAATAACCGGTTTCCCTGAATCCCTTCACTAAATATTACCCTGCTCACACTCCAACAGATCGTCAAGTCCCAAATACCATTCGTCTCCATTCACTCCTATCGAACACACTCATGCACGCCTGCTGGAAGTCCAAGCCCCTCGCCCACAAAACCTCCCTTACCACTTCCTTCCAACCTTTTCGAGGACGACCCCTACCCCGCCTTCCTTCTACAGATTTAAATGCTCTCCATGTCATTCTACTTTGAACCATTCTCTCTAAATGACCAAACCACCTCAACAACCCCTTTTCAGCCCTCAGACTAATACTTTTATTAACTCCACACCTTCTCCTAATTTCCACACTCCGAATTTTCTGCATAATAATTACACCACACATTGCCCTATCATATGCCTTTTCTAAATACATAAATGCAATAAAAACTTCCCTACCTTTATCTAAATACTGTTCACATATATGCTTCCATGTAAACACTTGATTTACACATCCCCTACCCACTCTGAAACCTCCTTGCTCGTCCGCAATCCTACATTCTGCCTTACCTCTAATTCTTTCAATAATAACCCTACCATACACTTTTCCTGGTATACTCAATAAACTTATTCCTCTATAATTTTTACGATCTCTTTTGTCCCCCTTCCCTTTATATAAAAGGACTATACATGCTCTCAGCCAATCCCTAGGTACCTTCCCTTCTTTCATACATTTATTAAACGAAAGTACCAACCACTTCAACACTATATCCCCCCTGCTTTTAACATTTGTCATGATCCCATCAGTTCCAGCTGCTTTACCCCCTTTCATTCTACGTAATGCCTCACGCACCTCCCCCACACTCACATCCTGCTCTTCTTTACTCCTAAAATATGGTATACCTCCCTGGCCAGTGCATGAAATTACCGCCTCGCTCTCTTCGTCGGCATTCAGAAGCTCATCAAAATATTCTCTCCATCTTCCCATCTACTAACTCCCCTACTCTGTTTTTAACTGACAAATCCATTCGTTCCCTAGGCTTTCTTAACTTGTTTAACTCACTCCAAAATTTTTTTCCTTATTTTCATTAAAATTTCTTGACAAGGAGGTATATAACAAATATTCTACAGTATTCATGTACCCATTTTCTTTTAGCTACATGTACTATTCCTTTTCACTGTGTAAACCTCACTCAAGTTCAGAATTCATTATTTTTTAATCATCATAACATTAAAAAAAATTTTATGGCTCCCTTCAAGACCTAAGAACACGACCCTATATTTTCCCCGTGGTTTTCACTCCACAAGTTGTACATATCACTGGTAGTGCAGTTTTCAGGAGTGTATTTATTTATTAACACACTGGCTGATTCCCACCAAGGCAGGGTGGCCCGAAAAAGAAAAACTTTCACCATCATTCACTCCATCACTGTCTTGCCAGAAGGGTGCTTTACACTACAGTTTTTAAACTACATTAACACCCCTCCTTCAGAGTGCAGGCAGTGTACTTCCCATCTCCAGGACTCAAGTCCGGTCTGTCGGTTTCCCTGAATCCCTTCATAAATGTTACTTTGCTCACACTCCAACAGCACGTCAAGTATTAAAAACCATTTGTCTCCATTCACTCCTATCAAACATGCTCACGCATGCCCGCTGGAAGTCCAAGCCCCTCGCACACAAAACCTCCTTTACCCCCTCCCGCCAACCTTTCCTAGGCCGACCCTTACCCCACCTTCCTTCCACTAGACTGATACACTCTTGAAGTCATTCTGTTTTGCTCCATTTCCTCTACATGTCCGAACCACCTCAACAACCCTTCCTCAGCCCTCTGGACAACAGTTTTGGCAATCCCGCACCTCCTCCTAACTTCCAAACTACGAAATCTCTCTATTATATTCACACCACACATTGCCCTCAGACATGACATCTCCACTGCCTCCAGCCTTCTCCTCGCTGCAACATTCATCACCCATGCTTCACACCCATACAAGAGCATTGGTAAAACTATACCCTCATACATTCCCCTCTTAGCTTCCAAGGACAAAGTTCTTTGTCTCCACAGACTCCTAAGTGCACCGCTCACCCTTTTCCCCTCATCAATTCTATGATTCACCTCATCTTTCATAGACCCATCCGCTGACACTTCCACTCCCAAATATCTGAATACATTCGCCTCCTCCATACTCTCCCCCTCCAATCTGATATCCAATCTTTCATCACCTAATCTTTTTATCCTCATAACCTTACTCTTTCCTGTATTCACTTTTAATTTTCTTCTTTTACATACCCTACCAAATTCATCCACCAATCTCTGCAACTTCTCTTCAGAATCTCCCAAGAGCACAGTGTCATCAGCAAAGAGCAACTGTGACAACTCCCACTTTATGTGTGATTCTTTATGTTTTAACTCCACAACTCTTGCCAAGACCCTCGCATTTACTTCTCTTACAACCCCATCTATAAATATATTGAACAACCACGGTGACATCACACATCCTTGTCTAAGGCCTACTTTTACTGGGAAATAATCTCCCTCTTTCTTACATACTCTAACTTGAGCCTCACTATCCTCGTAATAACTCTTTACTGCTTTCAGTAACCTACCTCCTATACCATACACCTGCAACATCTGCCACATTGCCCCCCCTATCCACCCTGTCATACGCCTTTTCCAAATCCATAAATGCCACAAAAACCTCTTTAGCTTTATCTAAATACTGTTCATTTGTATGTTTCACTGTAAACACCTGGTCCCCACACACCCCCTACCTTTCCTAAAGCCTCCTTGTTCATCTGCTATCCTATTCACCATTTTACTCTTAATTCTTTCACTAACAACTCAACCATACACTTTACCAGGTATACTCAAGGGACTTATCCCCCTATAATTTTTGCACTCTCTTTTGTCCCCTTTGCCTTTGTACAAAGGAACTATGCATGCTCTCTGCCAATCCCTAGGTACCTTACTCTCTTCTATATATTTATTAAATAATAGCACCAACCACTCCAAAACTATATCCCCACCTGCTTTTAACATTTCTATCTTTATCCCATCAATCCCAGCTGCCTTACCTGCTTTTATTTTACCTACTGCCTCACGAACTTCCCCCATGCAAAATATGATCATCCACCATATATGTACTGAAACCTTGGGAAATTTAACCCTTTCAGGGTTTCGACCGTACTAGTACGGCTTACGCACCAGGGTTTTTGACATACTAGTGCACCTAAATTCTAGCGCCCTCAAATCTAGTGAGAGAAAGCTGGTAGGCCTACATATGAAAGAACGGGTCTATGTGGTCAGTGTGCGCAGTATAAAAAAAATCCTGCAGCGCACAGTGCGTAATGAGAAAAAGTTTTTGGATTAAAACAGCGATTTTGCACTGTATTTTCGTATGGTATTTATTGTTGTGTTCTAGTTTTCCTGGTCTCATTGTATAGAATGGAAAACATATTACAGAAATTGAGATGAATTCGACTGATTTTACAATGAAAAGTACCTTGAAATTGAGCTCAAAGTAGCAGAAATGTTTGATTTTTACCAAAGTTCAAAAGTAAACAAATCATGCTAAGCATCCAAAACATGTCAACTGGCGAATCTAATATTCTTTCACAAGTGTGCCGATATTATTTATACCATTTTTTACACTAATGCAGTAGTCTGCACAACAGTAAATCTTATATGTTTAGTGAGAATAAAAATTCAAAGTGGAAAGCAAAAGAATGTAAGAGGGGCGTTGGGACGTGACTAATGAACCGAGGAAATGTCATTTTAGTGCCAGGAATGTCTTTCTTGTTTATTCTGGACCCTATTTGGAAATTGGCATCTTTTGAAATTTGTGTGAAATTGGCAAAATTGCTAAATTCTGACCACTGTATTGGATAGGTGAAATCGGTGTATGGGTGGTTTCTTGCAGTCATTCGATAGAAAAAATGGAGTTCTAGCGAAATGTTCATGATTTTTGTCGACTAGTTCATTGGAATTGGCCGAAAATAGGGCTCAAAGTGGGCGAAATTGCCGATGAGTAAACATCATCGAGACCACTAACTTTGCGAAAGCATAATTCCGTAAGTTTTCCATCAAATTTCATACTTTTGGTGTCATTATGATCGGGAAAAGATTCTCTTATCTTTTCATATTTTTTTTTTTTTTTTTTTTTTTTTAAATTTGGGCGACCCTGAGAACAAGTCTCGGAGAGGGCCTGTCGACCCTGAAAGGGTTAAGTATGTTCAACAAGTAAAAATGAGATTTAAATTTAATAACCAAAATACTTACTTTGAGGCCTTAAGCTGGGCCCAGGCCCATACTGTTGCGAAGACTCTGCTAGCGAGTTGCCACCACCAAGTTTGGGGAACTCCCGATGAAAAAACGGCGACTGTTGGACTGAGGAGGACTGTAGGGGCCCACCATCCAGTGGGAGTGGTGCCCCGGGGGAACCACCAGGAATTGCTCCACCTGCTGCTGCACTGCTCCACGGTTTGTTGCTGTTGCTTAGATTGTTGTTCCCATTGCTTATGTTGCTGGTGGGTGTGGTGGTTGTGGTGCTGTTTGTGGTGAGGTGATTTATGATGTTGGGAGTAGTGGTGATGGTGGTGGTGCCACTGGTGGCTTTGTTGCTCGAAGAGTTGCTGCTGAGGTTGCCGACTGAAGTGCTGGTGCTTGTGGTGGCAGTACTGGTTGTGGAAGTAATAGATATACTGCTTACATTGGGGTTGTTGTTGATATTTTTGTTTTTGTTGTTTGTGATGGAATTTCCGTTGATGTTGTTGTTGGGAGGTGTGGTGGTAGTGCTGTTGGTAATAATGGTGGGGTTGAGGTTGACTCCATTGTTCCCACCATCCAGTGCTGGACCTCCACCACCAATTACTAAGAAAAAAGTACATACATCAAGCATTATTTTCTGAAAAAATATGAGTTTTTTCTAATCTTCTGACTAGTCTGGTTGGCAATAATAATGGTCATTTCCCCTCTAATAAAGAATAATCCAAATAAAGAGCACTTTCACTAATAATCTTTACATAGCTGTCTTTTCAGATAAAAAGGGATACCAAAACTACAACAATCAAAAGAAATCCAACATTTGAAAAATTCTTCAGTACTAGCACTTTAATTCCTGCCCTTAGAATTCAAGAGTAGCTAATCAGCTTTCCTAAATTCCTTTATAGAATGTTCCTATTGCCTACATTCCTACAGCATATCAAATCCCCAAAAACCATTCTACTCTACATTTTGCTGATCTATTTAGAGTATACAAATACAGTGGACCCCCGGTTAATGATATTTTTTTCAATCCAGAAGTATGTTCAGGTGCCAGTACTGAGCGAATTTGTTCCCATAAGGAATATTGTGAAGTAGATTAGTCCATTTCAGACCCCCAAACACACGTACAAACGCACTTACATAAATACACTTACATAATTGGTCGCATTCGGAGGTGATCGTTATGCGGGGGTCCACTGTATCTTAAATGCTGAAGCCCCTACTCCTCAAAACAGTCTTTCCTTTCCTCCCCCTAATCCTTCAGAGATATCCCCTAAACCTTTAATACACCTGATTTGTATTTTATTGTGGACAACTAACTTGCTCCAGCTTTTCTTGATGACCAAACCATCTCAAACCCTCCTCTGCTCCCAACGCATCTTATTTCTCCTAGTGGTTTGCGGCACCTTCAATAGAGTAATCTTTCTTTCATTAAAATATTATAAGCTCCATGGGGAAGTGGGGCTAGTAACCCTTTCTCCTGTATAAATTACTAAATTTAAAAATAAAGACTAGTTGGTTTTTTTTTTTAGGTCACCCTGCCTTGGTGCGATAAAACCGGTGTGTTAAAAAAAAACTATTATAATATAGGATTTAGTTTTCCATTATTGTCATTACATTGTATGTTTCTGTACACCAAGACAAAAATGTATGCAGTGGAACCTTGACTTACAAATTTAATCCACTCTGTGACCTAGCTCGTAACTCAATTTACTCTTACATCAAATAAATTTTCCTCATTTAAATTGAAAAGCCATTAATCCATTCCTGCACTCTGGAGACAAGACAAAATGCTTGAATGTGACACTAATATCAACTGTACGGCTTATTTATCTATCACAATTCATCTAATATGACATAATAAACAATATAATTAACACAAATATAATACACAGTAGACCGTCATTTAGCACAAGTTTACTTGGCACGATTTGAGTATTGCACGACTGAAGAATTGCAGCACAATTTTATGTAACACATCGTATAATTAATTTAACATGGTTCAGGTTGTGGGAAGGAAAAATAAATTCTCTTTTGCTCAAGCGGCCGCCTTATTGTGGAGCAGCCGAGGAGCCCTCCCGCTATCCCCTACCACTCCCTAACACCACCCCACCATCCCAGCGTTCATAATTCATACGTGTCCAGTCTTTCTCTGCTACAAGGCAGCTGTGTTTATGAATTGTGTTAATATATTTTAATTACTATATCTTGTATCTGCCAAGCAATCATGACACCCAGTAGCCATACCAGTGTTGCTGAAAGTAGCACGAAGAAGTATAAGCAGTAAGTCTTATAATTAACAAAGAAACAAAGATACGTATTAGACAAGAGATAACCTGTAGCCGTAATGAAGTATTACTGAGTGACTTGATTGACTGAGTGACTTCACTGACTTGCTGAATGACCTGACTTACTGAGTGACTTGACTGACTGACTGAATGACTTACTGGGTAATTTGACTGATTGACTGAATGACTTACCGAGTGACTTGACTGACTTACTGAGTGACTTGACTGACTTAATGACTTAACTAAAGTTAGACACTCCAGTACAACCATCGACTTCAGTACCAGAACCTCTACCATCCACCTCAGTCCAGTAGGGCCACAGCATAACCCTTCACGGTCATCCACAAACACCAGCACCCACAATTTAAGGTAAGAAATACTATTATTTCTGTTACATTTATAGTCTTAAGCAGTAAAAACAACATAATACATCACAATAATGAACTACAACTACATATTCACTTTATATTTTAGTAAGATGTTGAGGCCTAAAAAAAAGTTGTTTGGCTTTTTGGGGGCTCCCAGGAATGTAACCCTATTTTTCCGATAATTTCTTCAGTTCATCTAACATGATTTTTTACTTAACACGGCATTTTCAGGAACGTAACTACCATGCTAAATGACGGTCTATACTCTAGAATGAATAAAATAAACCATAACATGGTGGCAGAGGCAGCGACGGAAGTGACCACCATTTCCTGTCTAACTTTCACTATATACACCTACCATCCGACTTACGACCGAGTTCGGTTCCGAGAAACCGGTCGTAAGTCAAAATGGTCGTAAGTCGAACTTTACTACTGAATATCAACAAAACATTTTTGCAATGACTATTTTATTGTTTTATTTTGGTATTTCATGTTTTACTTTACTTTTTATGTTGTTAGTACTGTATTTTATACTGTAGGGTTTAGGATAAACACTGTGTACAACATAAATAGTTGTTTATTTCCAAGAAATTTGGCATAAAAAACACGGTCGTAAGTCGAGTGGTCGTAAGTCGAGCATGTCATAAGTCGGATGGTAAGTGTATCTTCCCATGCTCTTGTTGCAAGATAAAACAGAGTATTTGTGAGGCTAATTGCAGAAATATTGTATATAAAAACATTATAAATCATAATACACTACAGAATGTAAAGAAATGTTAAACTGTTTATATAAAGTGTACATGTACTTACACACTTGGAGCAGAAATGGTGGGGGATACTGAGGTGGGGGATACTGAGGGTGGGGATGCTGAGGGTGGGGATGCTGAGGGTGGGGGATGCTGAGGGTGGGGGATGCTGAGGGTGGGGGATGCTGAGGGTGGGGGATGCTGAGGGTGGGGGATGCTGAGGGTGGGGGAGGTTGAGGCTGTGGCGTACGATGTCAGTGGCCCTGTAAACCTCCAACAACAATATTGTTTTGTTTGATCGCTGAACTTAACTGATACAATTTTTGTTTAATCACTGAACTTAACTGATATAATTCATTTTGTTTAATCACTGAACATAATTGATACAGCTTTAGTATCTACGTATTGTAGATGTACTACGCTAGTATTGCCTGGCTAAGTCCGTGGAAATCATCGTCTTTTTCTTCTGAGCACTGTCCTTTGCACTTATTTTCTTAGGACCCATGGTTAGAAAAAAGAAATTTGGCCAAATGACTAAAAAATGCAAGCAAGCACAAGAGAACTGCTCCCACAGTGCTATAAACATGTGTACGATGTTTTGGCATCAGCTGTGCCATCTAGCAGCAGCGTTGTGAATTATTCCGTACATATTATTATTATTATTAATTTAGAGAACCGAAGCTCAATTATAATAAAAATATTATTATTATTATTAATTTTAGGTAACTGGAGCACAAATCCAATTCCCTAGATCAAGAGCCCCTCACCAGCATCAAGGAACCTTGATGCTGGTGAGGGGCTCTTGATCTAGGGTATTTGATCTGTGCTCTAGTTACCTAAATTAATAATAATAATAATTAATCATAATAATTATAATAACGAACACCGCCAACTCAGTGCACTGTTTACCTCACTGTGGGAGCAGTTCTCTTGTGCTTTGCTTACATTTTTGACAGTCATTTGGCCAAATTTTGTTTTTCTAAGCATGGGTCCTAAGTAAGTGTAAGAACAATGCTGAGAAGAAAAAGAGGATGGTTTCTATGGAATTAAAGCATGAAATCATAAACAAGTGTGGTGTTCAGGTTTTGCTTTGATGGGGAAGCAGGGAGAACTGGCTCTTAACTCAAAATGCTGGCTTGTAACTCAGAGCAAATGATAGACCCAGGGACAGCTCGTATCTCAAAAAACTCGTACGTTGGGACACTCCTAAGTCAAGGTTCCACTGTTTTACGATTAATATACTATGTCCATTTCCTTTTGTATGCATTTTATAATTTCTCTAGCTTAAGCACTTAAGTATTCTATGCATGCTCTAAATATGAAATCAAATTTTCTTTACTTCAATTTAATTCACATACATACATGGAGGCAAAGAAGGGAATGTACGAAAGTATAGTGGTACCAACACTCTTATATGGGTGTTAAGCTTGGGTTGTAAATGCTGCAGTGAGGAGGCAGTTGGAGGCGGTGGAGATGTCCTGTCTAAGGGCAATGTGTGGTGTAAATATTATGCAGAAAATTCGGAGTGTGGAAATTAGGAAAAGGTGTGGAGTTAATAAAAGTATTAGTCAGAGGACTGAAGAGGGGTTGTTGAGGTGGTTTGGTCATTTAGAGAGAATGGATCAAAGTAGAATGACACAAAGAGCATATAAATCTGTAGGGGAAGGAAGGCGGGCTAGGGGTCATCCTCGAAAAGGTTGGAGGGAGGGGGTAAAGGAGGTTTTGTGGGCGAGGGGCTTGGACTTCTAGCAAGAATGCGTGAGCGTGTTAGATATGAGTGAATGGAGACGAATGGTATTTGGAACCTGATGAGCTGTTAGAGTGTGAGCAGGGTAATATTTAGTGAAGGGATTCAGGGAAATCGGTTTATTTTTATATAGCCGGACTTGAGTACTGGAAATGGGAAGTACAATGCCTGCACTTTAAAAGAGGGGTTTAGGATATTGGCAGTTTGGAGGGATATGTTATATATCTTTATATATGCTTTGTTTTAAACTGTTGTATTTGGACACCTCTGCAAAAACAGTGATTATGTATGAGTGAGGTGAAAGTGTTGAATGATGAAAGTATTTTCTTTTTGGGGATTTTCTTTCTTTTTGGGTCACCCTGCCTCGGTGGGAGATGGCCGACTCATTGAAAAAAAAAAAATGTATGACTACTCACAAAACTCATAACGCTATTGCAAATAAATCAGAGTGGATGGGACTCAAACCTATGGTAAGCGAATCCTCTAACTCACTGGTGTACAGAAATATACCTAACTGGGTCACCCTGCCTAGGTGGGAGACAGCCGACTTGTTAAAAAAAAAAAAAAAAACTAAAATACAAAGTCAATGTGACATTACTGGGAGGTTGAGAATTTGGAGTTGAGCTTGTGCTGCTTCCTAGGTTGTTGTTGGTCGATACTTGGTTGACCACATCCACACTCGTAGGTGCCCCTGCCCCGGGTGCCTGTCACAAATGGATATTAATTTAATATAATATATATAATACACACACACACACACACGAGAGAGAATTCTCTCTATTTCACAAATATATACACATTAACCACAGATATTTAAAGAAAAATAGTAAGAATACAGGTACCATGTGACTTACGACCATGCTTGGTTCCGTAAGTCAAAATCGATTTAAGTCGAACCTTACTACTGGATATCAACAAAACACTTTTGTAATTATTTTATTTTGTTTTATTTCGGTATTTCATTTTTTACTTTACTTTTTATGTTGTTAGTACTGTATTTTATACCATAAGGTTTAGGATAAACACTGTGTACAACACAAACAGTTGTTTATTTCCCAGAAATCTGGCATAAAAAACATCATCATAAGTCGAGTGGTCGTATGTCGAGCAGGTCGTAAGTCGGATGGTAGGTGTACTTCATATTTCAACTGGTCCCCTAATAATTTAACCCTTTGACTGTCGCGGTCGTATATATACACGTCATGGGAGATACCGTGTTTGACATATCTATACGCATAAATTCTAGCGGCTTCAAATCAAGCAGGAGAGGGCTGGTAGGCCTACACGAGAGAGAATGGGTCTCAGTGGTCGGTGTGCACCCTGTGAAAAAAATCTGAGACTCTGCAGTGCATTGTGGGAATGCCATCTTGGTAGTCCATTTTCACCATGCCTCGCGGTAAGAAGTTCCTCACTCCTCGGCGGATTGGAGGTCTTTTGTTCCCAAGTGATAGCTCAAACAGTGATGATAGTGTCAGTGAAAGTGAATTCCCTGGTTTTGAAGTGGGTGTGACCGAAAAAATTACCCAGGATAACATAATTAGTGATGAAAACCCAGATGACCCACAACCTTCCACCTCTGGTGCTGGGCCGGCTCGTTCATGTTCACCTGTACCAGGACGAAAGAGGAAACTATTTGCCAGTGTACAAGACTCAGAAGTGAGCAGTGCAAGTGATAGTGATTTCAAGGTTATTGAAAGCAGTTCTAGTTGTGACAGTGAGGGTGAATATTCCCCAGTGAAGCGGCAGTATATACGACGTTGCATGCGGTCTGGTAGCGTGCCATATGCTCTTCCAAGAGGAAGGAGTACATCTCAAATTCAATTCAAATTCAAAATTTATTCTCTATAAAGATTACAATGTTGAATTTACAGAATTTGGTTGTTGTGTGGTTTACATGTAGTTAAATAATGATTACAGAGTGCACCACTAGAACGCCAAGCATGGCTAGGCATTTCGGGCAGACTTAGTTTAATTGTTTATTTTAAAATATTACAAATTATGAGGTAAGTTGGTATTATGGCTAAGTGACTAAATACTAGTTTGTGAGTTTAGCAATGTGAATGCTTTTGTTTTGGCACAGTACATAGCTTCAGTATTGGAGTATCATAGGATTCATTATTTTAAGATTGAGATTAATATTTCTGTTTATGGTCAAATGGGTGAGTGAGTGTAAGTGTGAACCACCAGGTGGTATTCGTGTAGTTAGTTGATGGGGTTTATCAGGGAGATAAGATGTTTTCTAATGGTAGTTTTGAAGGTGATGAATGTGTCTGCAGTTCTAGAGTTCTCAGGTAGGATGTTCCAGATTTTAGGGCCTTTGACATACATTGAATTTTTGTAAAGGTTTAGTCGGACATGGGGAATGTCGTAGAGATGTTTGTGTCTGGTGTTATGCCTGTGGGTTCTGTCACAACTATCAAGAAAGTGTTTTAGGTCAAGGTTGATATTGGAGTTTAACCCTTTGACTGTTTCAGGCCCCTCTCTGAAACTGTCATTCTATGTCGCTCAATTTTTGAAAAAAAAAAATTATTTTTTCTTATGAAATGATAGAGAATCTTTTCCCGATGGTAATGACACCAAAAGTTCGAAATTTGGTCGAAAACTCGTGGAATTATGCTCCCGCGAAGTTAGCGGTCTCGGCGACATATGCGTATCGGCGATTTCGCCGACTTTGAGCCCAATTTTCAGCCAATTCCGTTGTTTCAGTTGACCAAACTCATAGCTATTTCTTTAGAACTCCATTTTATCTATCAGCTGAGTACAAGAAACCTCCCATTTACTAATTTGGACTACCCAATATGGTGGTCAGAAATTGGCAATTTGGCCAATTTCACGCAAAATAAAAAAGATGCCAATTTCAAAATAGGGTCCAGAATAAACAAGGTAGACATTCGTGGCACTAAAATAACATATGCTCTGTTCATTAGTCACATCTCTAGGCCCCTCTTATATTATTATTGCTTTCTATTTTGATTTTTTATTCATACAAAAGAATACAAAATTTACTGTTATGCAGACGACTGCATTATTGTAAAAATGGTATAAATAATATCAGTGCACTAGTGAAAGAATATTAGACTCCCCAGTTGACGTGTATTGGACGTGTGGTGTGATTTATTTATTATTGGTGTGGATAAATGAGAAACAATTAGCAGGAGATACTCTCATGACTTCGATTATTTGTGAAAAGGCTAGACAGTTGCACAACGATCTGGTAAAGAATTTTTTATTTTTATTTTTTTATTATCACACCGGCCGATTCCCACCAAGGCAGGGTGGCCCGAAAAAGAAAAACTTTCACCATCATTCACTCCATCACTGTCTTACCAGAAGGGTGCTTTACACTACAGTTTTTAAACTGCAACATTAACACCCCTCCTTCAGAGTGCAGGCACTGTACTTCCCATCTCCAGGACTCAAGTCCGGCCTGCCGGTTTCCCTGAATCCCTTCATAAATGTTACTTTGCTCACACTCCAACAGCACGTCAAGTATTAAAAACCATTTGTCTCCATTCACTCCTATCAAACACGCTCACGCATGCCTGCTGGAAGTCCAAGCCCCTCGCACACAAAACCTCCTTTACCCCCTCCCTTAAAGAAATTGCCTGAAAATAGTGGTGATGTGAGTGAATTTAAGGCCAGCAAAGGTTGGTTTGAGAGATTTAAGAACCGTACTGGCATACAGTGTGGTAAAGCATGGTGAGGCTGCCAGTTCAGACCACAAGGTGGCTGAAAAATATGTGCATGAATTCCAGGAGTACATAGAGGCTGAAGGACTGAAACCTGAACAAGTGTTCAATTGTGATGAAACAGGCCTCTTTTGGAAGAAAATGCCAAAGAGGACCTTCATTTCACAGGAGGAAAAGGCAATGCCAGGACACAAGCCTATGAAAAACAGGCTGACGCTCATGTTCTGTGCTAATGCTAGTGGGGATTTCAAAGTGAAGCCATTACTAGTGTACCATTCTGAAAATCCCAAAGTGTTCAGGAAAAACAATGTTATGAAGAGTAAACTGTGTGTTTTGGAAATCTACTAGTAAGGCATGGGTCACGAGGGAAATTTTCGTCGAGTGGTTCAATGAAGTGTTTGGCCCTAGTGTGAAGAATTACCTCCTGGAAAAGAAATTGGATCTCAAGTGCCTGCTAGTAATGAACAATGCACCTGCTCATCCTCCAAACTTGGATGACCTAATTTTCGAGGATTTGGGTTCATCACAGTAAAGTTCTTGCCCCCAAATACCACTCCTCTCCTCCAGCCCATGGACCAGCAGGTCATTGCAAACTTTAAAAAACTCTACACCAAAGCCATGTTTCACAGGTGCTTGACTGTGACCACAGACACTCACTTGACCCTAAGGGAATTTTGGAGAGAACACTTCAGCATCCTCCATTGCATAACCCTTATAGGTATGGCTTGGGAGGGAGTGACTACCAGAACTTTGAACTCTGCCTGGAGAAAATTGTGGCCAGATTGTGTCGACAAGAGGGATTTTGAAGGGTTTGGGACTGACCCTGATGAGCCTATGTCTGTTGTAAAATCAATTGTGGCACTGGGGAGTTCCATGGGGTTGGATGTGAGTTTGGAGGATGTGGAAGAATTGGTGGAAGACCACAACGAAGAGCTCACCACTGAGGAGCTGCAAGAGCTTCAGCAGGAACAGCAACAGATCGCAGCTCAGAATCTTGCTGCAGAGGAGGAGGAAGAGAGATGGAAGATGGTGCCTTCTTCAGAAATTAAAGAGATTTTTGCTATGTGGGGTAAGATGGAAAGCTTTATGGAGAAACATCACCCTGACAAGGTTGTTGCAAGCCATGTTGGCAACATGTACAGTGACAAAGTCTTGGCCCATTTTAGGGAAGTTTTAAAGACGCCAGAAACAGAGCTCTCTGGACAGTTATTTTGCGACACAGGACTCCAGTGACTCTCAAGGTGGTCCTAGTGGCATTAAGAAACAGAGAAGAGAAGCAACCCCAGAAAAGCAATTGGTACCTGAGGTGTTGCTGGAAGGGAATTCCCCTTCCAAACTGTAAACAATCCAATCTCTCTCCTCCTCCAGTCTCCCATACACTAAGAAGAATCTCCAATAAAGGTAAGTGTTATGCTGTTAATGTTTCATTCATCATTTCCCATTGTATTGTTTATGTACTACATGTATATTTCATGTAAAAATTTTTTTTTGTTTTAATACTTCTGGGTGTCAGGAACGGATTAATTGTATTTACATTATTTCTTATGGGGAAAATTGATTCGCAAATCATAGATTTCGTTAATAGTAGCAGCTCCAGGAACGGATTAACTACGAAAAACGAGGGACCACCGTACCTCCCATTCCTTTATGACATTCCTAAAGTGTTTCACAACATTGTCAGTGTACAGGTTGCCAACACGGCTTGCAGTAGCTGTGTCAGGGTGATTTTCATCAAAAAAGGTTTGCACTTAAGCCACATTGCACACATTTTCTTAATCTTTGAAGTAGGCAACTTCCTCAATTTCTCAGGTTTCAATTCTTCACTGTATATGTACTCCTTGAATTCCTGCACATATTTTTCAGCTGCTTTTTGGTCCGAACTGGCAGCCTCACCATGCCTTATCACAATATGTATGACACTACGATTCTTAAATCTCTCAAACCAACCTTTGCTGGCCTTAAATTCACTCATCACCACTAGTTGCAGGCATTTTTCTAATTAAATCGTCATGCAACTTCCTAGCCTTTTCACATATGATCACTTGAGAGATGCTATCTCCTGTTATCTGTTTTTCATTTATCCACACCAATAACAGTCTCTCAACATCTTCTATCACTTGCGATCTCAGTTTCGAAAACACAGTTTCACCTTTGGCAAGAACAGCTTCCTTGATTGCCGTTTTCTTGGCCACAATAGTAGCGATGGTTGATTGGGGTTTCGTGTACAACCTGGCCAGCTCGAAGACACGCACTCCACTTTCATACTTAACAATGCTCTCTTTCTTCATATCCATAGTAATTCTCATCCTTTTTGCTGTAGGGTTGGCACTGGAAGCTTTCTTGGGGCCCATGGTGACTTATTTTGCAGGCGCAATCACTAAAAACGCTGTGATAATATGAAATGCTCCGATTCTATGTTTGGATGGGACCACGGTGGCTGGCTGGCTTGTAAACACTGGCACCCACGGGACAAGTGAGGCGCGCTCAGGCCACAAGTGGACGCGTCTCGAATGGAACAAATCGCGTTGGTCGAGTTTTTTAGCGCTAGTTGAGGCAAAAATAGTACTCAAGTAGTCACAAACACACAGAGGTGAGCATTTTCACCTGTCTTGGTCACATACCATTGTCTACAAATATATATAAAGTATTTATAGGTCCCAGCAATGTTTTAGACATGCTGGAGTATAATATGAAACTCCTTGAAGCATGGTGTAAGACGAGTGTCACTCCACTGCTGACAGTGCAGCAGTGGAGTGACACTTGATCGAGCACTGCTCCAGGTACCCGTGGCTTTATATTTTTCACTGTTACACAAACATGTCTGTCTGTCTGTCTGTGTCTGTCTGTGTATCTGTATCTATCTGTAACTGTCTAGCTCTGTATGCTTATCTGTCTTCCTGTGTGTCTCTGCCTTCCTGTCTCTGTCTCAGAGTTGTTCATGAAACAACAGGTATTACACACTATGCAGAGTTGTCACATCTGATTCCTGATCAAGTGAAAATGCGTACTGTCAGTCATGCTTATCATGCCTTATATCTACCAGCACAGTACAGCACTTGCCTGCATTTTTTGGGTTATCCTAGGTAATTTACATTATGTATGATAACTGTACTCAAGTGTACCAGTGAGAGAGAGAGGGGTATAGATGGAGAGAGAGCCAAAGTCAATCAATCAGCCAGCCAGCCAGCCACCCACCCACCCACCCAGCCAGCTGGCCTGCCGAATACGTATTACACGTTACAAAATAATTTCTCTTTACTTAAGGCATAGTTTATAGGACTTTCTAGCAAGATGACACTACCAGTGGTACCAAAATTGAAAGGATATTGCACAAATGTTGCACATGGGTTATTATCGAGGTTTTTTTATATTTCCTCGACCACTTGTGGCCACATCCATCTCAAAGCCACTAAAATTAGGGTCAACATCACTTTCCTCTTAAAAGGGGAGTATTAATACATTACATCAGTGAATCCCTGGTGTCTGCCATGCTGTTTGCTCTAGCTAGTGCTCAATTGAACTGGTGCTCCCACAAAGTACTAAGTGGTCCCAGATTTTTTAATACAGCACACACCGAGTGTTAAGACCCATTCTATACTGACCAGGTATCACAGGCCAATCATGCCAAATTTGGAGGCAAGAAAAATAAAACAATCTACGCTTGGAGTAATTGCAGTAACAACGGAGATCTATATTTGGACAGTTTAAGAGTATAAAAATCAATATTTTGGGACAGGTTTATTTAGCCATTTTTTTCTTTTTAAATGTATGCAATTTGGATAAAAGCCATAAAATTTACTCAATAACTTTTAGAATTAATCAGATCTGTGTCTGAATTGTTACATACAGTGAGCAAGCAGACAAAATACTGTAATTTATACAAACAGACATTTTTCAATTTATGGTGAAAATGTAAATACAGTGGAACCTCAGTTAACACCTACATCGGATAAGGACAAAATAGGATAACGCCTCGCTTTGGCATAAAAAACTGGCTCAGATAACGCCTATAATCTCGGTTAGGAGCTTTCGTCTCGAAAGTGTCGGCACAGCGCCGTGAGTGGGCCCAGCCACTCACTCCATATACCAGTGTACCATTGTTTACAAAGCCAGTGAGGATGATTCTGCGCATACATGCGATATATTTTGCATTATTCCACTGTTTTTGGTGCTTGTAACTGCTAAATAAGCCACAATGGGCCCCAAGAAAGCTTTAGTGTCAGCCCTATGGTAAAGAAAGTGAGAAAAATACGAAAGTGGTGGTGGTAGAGGGTGGTAGTGGTTGTGATGGGGGTAGAGGGTGGTGGTGGTTGTTATGGGGGGTAGAGGGTGGTGGTGGTTGTGATGGGGGTAGAGGGTGGTGGTGGTTGTGATGGTGGTAGAGGGTGGTGGTGGTAGAGGCGGGTGGTAGAGGCGGGTGGTAGAGGAGGGTGGTAGAGGAGGGTGGTAGAGGCGGGTGGTAGAGGAGGGTGGTAGAGGCGGGTGGTAGAGGCGGGTGGTAGAGGAGGGTGGTAGAGGAGGGTGGTAGAGGAGGGTGGTAGAGGAGGGTGGTAGAGGAGGTGGTAGAGGAGGGTGGTAGAGGAGGGTGGTAGAGGAGGGTGGTAGAGGAGGGTGGTAGAGGAGGGTGGTAGAGGAGGGTGGTAGAGGAGGGTGGTAGAGGAGGGTGGTAGAGGAGGGTGGTAGAGGAGGGTGGTAGAGGAGGGTGGTAGAGGAGGGTGGTAGAGGAGGGTGGTAGAGGAGGGTGGTAGAGGAGGGTGGTAGAGGAGGGTGGTAGAGGAGGGTGGTAGAGGAGGGTGGTAGAGGAGGGTGGTAGAGGAGGGTGGTAGAGGAGGGTGGTAGAGGAGGGTGGTAGAGGAGGGTGGTAGAGGAGGGTGGTAGAGGAGGGTGGTAGAGGAGGTGGTAGAGGAGGTGGTAGAGGAGGGTGGTAGAGGAGGGTGGTAGAGGAGGGTGGTAGAGGAGGGTGGTAGAGGAGGGTGGTGGCAGTGGTAGAGGGGGTAGTGATGGTGGTAGTGATGGTGGTAGTGATGGTGGTAGAGGGTGGTAGTGGTTATGATGGTGGTATGATATGATAAGGCACAGTGAGGCTGCCAGTTCTGACAAAAAAGCAGCTGAAAAGTATGTGCAGAGCTTTAAGGGGTACATAGAGGCTGAAAAATTAAAACCCCAACAAGTGTTCAATTGTGATGAAACAGACCTGTTTAGGAAGAAAATGCCACACAGGACCCACATTACTCAGGAGGAAAAGGCACTCCCAGGACAAGCCAGAAAAGGACTTGTTACTGAAGTCTTTATGGAAGGGGATTCCCGTTATAAACAATAGAACACCTTCATCCTCTGCCCTCCTACCATCTCATCACTCATCACCAAGTCTACAAAAAGTGTGATGTTTTACTGTGCATGTATCATTGTTTTCTGTGTATGGAAATGCATATTTCATGTAAAAAAAATTATTTTGTTTAATACTTTTGGATGTCTGGAATGGATTAATTGCATTTCCATTATTTCTTATGGGGAAAATTAATTCAGTTAAAGGCTAAATCGGTTAAAGCCTAGCTCTCTGGAACGGATTAAAGGCGTTAACTGGGGGTCCACTGTAGTATATTTCAAACCATGGTGTTATATTCTGCTTAGGAGAGAATTTTTAACTGTTATAGTAAAGGGAGAATAGTAGTATACTCTTCATGGTGTCACCTGAATCAGGGTTTAAACAAAAATTTAAGTAGTCTGCCCAGCTATTTTATAAAAAAAAAATGGGTTTAGGATAAAACCCACTTTTTTTTTTTAATAAATTTTGTTTTTTTCATTTTCACTTTCCATGTTTTTGTTTTTTAATATAATATTTTAGAAATGAATTACGGATTAATGTGTCTAACCTTTACATGGTATACTAAGATAGCATTCCCAGTGCACTGCATCAGCTCCACACAGACCCATTCTCTCATACCTAGACATAATATCAGGTAGAACTAATATACAAATGGGAGAACTTTTCCTGGAATGGGCCAGTGGGCCTACTAGACCACTTTGCAGTAATTTTTTTTTTTTTTTTCAAAACTAAGTCAGACACTTAAAGGGTTAAGTAAGGGGCCCTAAACTAAAGGGGTTTTTTGACCTGGATTTTGCCTACAAGAAAATATACTTGGGATTTCTTCTAAACTTGCCAAATTGCTCATTTATACCTTTGTAAAAACTAAAGAAATGGCTAGGCTATAAAAATACTAATTAATTCATGCTAGTCATTGGTTTTACTTAGTAGTCTTTTAATGTTCAAATTAAATTTTCATGGTGGAATACAAAATAAAACCATAGGGTGCTTCACCCAGGCAGGTACCTAATTACGTTATCAGAACTTTAGAGGCATAAAGGAGCCCACAGATTTTAATAATTTCTAACACACACTTGGCTATATTCAAAGAAATGAAATTCCTAAACACAACCCTGATCAACTGGACTATTGCCTGCATCAGAGTGAGATGTCAATACTAACAGTCACTCTCATCAGGCCATCAACCAGGAAGCCTGGTAAGGACTGAGTTGTGAGAAAAGCATTCTCTAGCAGAACTCTGTAGAATCCACTTTGTAGAATCTAATAATTAATATTGTGCCTTAAAATAAAGAAAAACTAAAAACTAATCCACACCAGAGGAAGCTGAAAAATTATCAGAACCAGCAAGAAGGCCCTTACCTTTTGAGTGAGATCGAGTGGTGGTGTTGGTGTTGGAGTCACCTCCTGAGGTGTGGAAGACCCATCTGGGGTCATCTCCTCCGCCTTGCTGCCCCATCCTAGACCACCAGCTGGTACCAAATTCACGTTAGGATCGTTACCACTATTCTCTGCCTTCAGGCTTGGCAAGTTAGCAGGAGGAGGCACGCGCCGTACAGACGCCACTTTACCCAGGCTTTGCATGCCATGTTTCTGGATTACAGTTTTCTGAGTGGTTTCAATAGACTTTCCCTGCAAGTATAAATCAAATTAATAAGTTATAATCACATTCTCACTTCAAATATTTGATACAGGGAAACTATAACCCTAAAGCACAATTGTATCAATGCCCTGAAGCTCTTTACTATTACTGTATCATCAGATCTAACCATCCCTAATGTAAAGGCATTATCTATATCAGCAGCTTTTATTGTTAAATATCTTCTTCCTGCCTATATATACCCCTTCCTGCTCTACTTCTCGTTAGTGTGACTTTGTAAATGGTCCAAGTCAGACCGAAACGTCGCCGTAAGCTCCTCTCTTTATGTGCGGGTTATTTGTGTATCTTCATTACTTAGGTACTAAGCATACTCTAACAGAAGTACAGTCAAATTTCTAAATTCACAAGTTTCCTAATTCAACAAATTGTATTATCAAATGTTTACACTGCAAACAATTCCACAAAAAGCTTCAATAACTCAGTTTTTCTTGCAAAGCCCTTTTTCTTAGGCATGAGGCAAAGGTGGTTAGTATTATACAGAAATGAACAATATCAAATTTTTTGTTGATGCTAATGTTCAATTTTAGGGTGAGGGGCTTGGATTTCCAGCAAGCATGCGTGAGCATGTTAGACAGGAGTGAATGGAGACAAATGGTTCTTGGGACCTGGCGAGCTGTCGGAGTGAGAGCAGGGTAATATTTTGTGAATGGGTTCATGGAAACTGGTTAGCCGGACTTGAGTCCTGGAAATGGGAAGTACAATGCCTGCTCTTAAAGGAGGGGTTTGGGATACTGGCAGTTTGGAGGTATTTCTGAACTGTCGTATCTAAGCACCTCTACAAAGACAGTGATTATGTATGAGTAAGGTGAAAGTGTTGAATGATGAAAGTATTTTATTTTGGGGAATTTTCTTTCTTTTTGGGTCACCCCGCCACGGTGGGAGACGACCGATGCGTTAAAAAAAAAAAATACGTACCCTCAAAATTAGCCAAAACCAATTAATACCAATAGTAGTAGTAGGGTGATAGACAGCAACCTCCCAAGGAGGTATTACCGTCCTGCCAAACTTTGTGTGAAACAGTAAGAACATAAGAAAGGAGGAACACTGCAAGAGGCCTGTTGGCCCATACTAGGCAGGTCCTTTACAATTCATCCCACTAACAAAACATTTGCCCAACCCAATTTTCAATGCTACCCAATAAATAAGCTCTGATGTGCAAGTCCCACTCAAATCCAACCCCTCCCACTCATGTACTTATCCAACCTAAATTTGAAACTACCCAAAGCCCTAGCCTCAATAACCCAACTAGGTATACTGTTCCACTCAACTACCCTATTTCCAAACCAATACTTTCCTATGTCCTTTCTAAATCTAAACTTATCTAATTTAAATCCATTACTGCGGGTTCTCTCTTGGAGAGATATCCTCAAGACCTTATTAATATCCCCTTTATTAATACCTATCTTCCACTTATACACTTCGATCAGGTCTCCCCTCATTCTTTGTCTAACAAGTGAATGTAACTTAAGAGTCTTCAATCTTTCTTCATAAGGAAGATTTCTAATGCAATGTATTAATTTAGTCATCCTACGCTGAATGTTTTCTAACGAATTTATGTCCATTCTGTAATATGGAGACCAGAATTGAACTGCATAATCTAGGTGAGGCCTTACTAATGATGTATAAAGCTGCAGTATGACCTCTGGACTTCTGTTGCTTACACTTCTTGATATAAATCCCAGTAATCTATTTGCCTTATTACGTACACTCAGGCATTGCTGTCTTGTTTTAAGGTTGCTGCTTACCATAACCCCCAAGTCCTTTTCGCAATCTGTATGGCTAAGTTCTACATTATTTAACTTATAGGGTTATGGACACTCCCGAGCTTCAGAACCTTGCATTTATCTACATTGAACTGCATCTGCCACTTTTCTGACCAAGAATAGAGTTTGTCTAAATCCTCCTGAAGTTCCCTAACATCTACGTTTGAATCAATTATCCTACCTATCTTTGTGTCATCGGCGAATTTGCTCATATCACTAGTAATTCATTCATCAAGATCATTGATATATATTATAAACAACAACAGGCCCAAGACTGATCCCTGTGGAACGCCACTTGTTACTGAACCCCACTCGGACTTAACCCCATTTATGGACACACACTGCTTCCTGTCTGTGAGCCATGATTCGATCCGCGAGAGCACCCTTCCCCCAATGCCATGAGATGCTACTTTCTTCAACAGTCTTTGGTGCGGAACTCTATCAAATGCCTTACTAAAATCAAAGTAAATGATATCAAATTCTTTATCATGGTCAACAGCCTCAAAAGCTTTACTGAAGAAAGTTAATAAATTAGTTAGACAAGACCGGCCTCTTGTGAATCCATGCTGAGTATCATTAATCAAGCTATGCTTATCGAGATGGCTCCTTATAATCTGGGCTATAATTGACTAGTAATTTGCCTACAATTGAGGTCAGGCTTATTGGGCGGTAATTTGATGGTAACGACTTGTCCCTGTTTTAAAATAGGAATTACATTAGCATCTTCCCACATATCAGACACTACACCTGTTTGAAGAGATAAATTAAAAATATTAGTTAATGGTTCACAGACTTCCATTTTGCATTCCCTTAGAACCCTTGAAAAAACCTCATCAGGACCCGGTGACTTATTTGCTTCAGTCGGTCTATCTGCTTCACAACCATTTCACTAGTGACTGTGATGTTACATAATTTATCTTCTTCTGATCCACTATAAAAATTAATTACCGGAATATTATTAGTGCCTTCCTGTGTAAAAACCGAGAGAAAATAATTATTTAAAATCGAGCACATTTCATTCTCTTTGTCAGTAAGATGCCCATAGTTATTTTTAAGGGGACCTATCTTATCTCTGACTTTTGTTCTATAGACCTGGAAAAAACTTTTTGGGTTAGTTTTAGAATCCCTAGCAACTTTAATTTCATAGTCCCTTTTAGCTTTTCTTATCCCCTTTTTAATGTCCCTCTTAATGTCAATATACTGATTCATAAGATGACCCTCGCCTCTTTTGATACGCCTATAAATTCCTTTCTTATGCCCTAGTAGATATTTCAGCCTATTATTCATCCATTTTGGGTCATTTCTATTTGATCTAATTTCCTTATAAGGGATAAACGTTCTTTGAGCAGCATGTATTGTGCTCAGAAAACTGTCATATTGATAGCTCTCTTCGTTACCCCAGTCAACAGATAAGCGTTCTCTAAGCCCATCGTAATCTGCTAAGCGAAAATCTGGGACTGTTACTGAGTTATCCCTATCATACTTCCATTCAATTCTAAATGTAATTGATTTGTGGTCGCTAGCACCCAGTTCCTCTGAAACTTCTAAATTATTAACAAGGGATTCATTGTTTGCCAGAACTAAGTCAAGCAGGTTATTACCCCTTGTAGGTTGTCACAAACTGCTTCAAAAAGCAATCGTGAAGTACTTCTAAGAAGTCGTATGATTCTAAATTCCCAGTCAAGAAATTACAATCAATATGACTAAAGTTAAAGTCTCCTAGAATTACTACATTATCGTGCCTTGTGGCCCTAACAATTTCCTCCCATAGTAGTCTCCCCTGGTCCCTATCTAAATTTGGGGGACGGTATATCACACCTAAAATTAATTTTTCATGCCCCTCTGAAAATTCTATCCAGACTCTTTATGTGTTACTTCAGACTTAATACCCGTTTTTATGCAACAGTTCAAGCGATCTCGGATATACAATGCCACGCCACCCCCCTTCCCGATACTTCTATCTACTTGGAACAATTTAAAACCCTGAATGTTACATTCTGCAGGCATGTCCCGACTTTTTGAATTAAACCACGTCTCAGTAATGGCAAATATATCTATGTTACCTGCACTAGCAACTAGTCTCAACTCTTCCATCTTATTCCTAGCACTGCGACTATTTGTGTAATAAATATTTAAAGACCCTCCTCTCTCTTTACCCTTCCTGCTCCTTTCTGTTATTCCACTAAACCTATTACTGTCCTTGTCAATTAGTGCTACTGGCTTTCCAATATCCACCTCATTTTGCCTATTACTAGTTCTCCTAGTACTCATATTACTACCCTGCGACTTCACAGTTTTCCCGCCAAAACCCATACCACTAACTATTCCTAGTTTAAAGACCTAACAGCTCCCTCCACTGCGTTGGCCAGTGCTCCCACCCCACACCTAGATAAGTGAACCCCATCCCTGGCATACATGTCATTTCTGCCATAGAAGAGGTCCCAGTTGTCAATGAATGTTACCGCATTTTCCTTACAGTATTTGTCCAGCCAGCAATTGACACCAATTACTCTGGACAACCATTCATTTCCAACTCCGCTCCTTGGCAAAATGCCACATCTGACAGGTTTCCCACCCTTCCTCCTAATTATCTCTATTGCTGTCCTATACCTGCTAATCAAGTCCTCACTCCTACGTCTGCCAACATCGTTGCCTCCAGCACTGAGACAGATAATAGGATTGCTCCCATTACCTCTCATGATGTCATCCAGACGGCTAACAATATCCTTCATCCCAGCCCCAGGAAAACACACTCTCTGCCTCCTACTCCTATCCTTCAAGCAGAATGCCCTATCCATGTACCTAATCTGGCTATCCCCAACAACAACAATGTTTTTACCTTCCTTGGCGTCGTCCGTCGTGATGCTCCGAGTAGTCGACTCACATTCGCCAGGTAGCATTACACCACTTGTAGAATTCGTCAAGACGTTCTCGATGGTCTTCGTTGGGGTTTCTAGGGATGTCTTACTCACGTCTGCCAATGCTTCTTTGGTGCTCGTTGTGGCATTCCCAGTAGAACACTCACATTTGTCAGGTAGCACCGAGAATGGGTTGGAAGTTTCCACGGTAGTCTTCCGTTTTCTCGTTGTTTCTGCCTCTCCAACCGTTTTCTTGATCTTCAGCTTGGTTCCATGTTGCCCGGCCACTGACCAAGCTCCCCTCTTAACCTGGGGACTCACAACAGAAGGATTACTACGAATCCTCTTGTTCTCCTCCGTTAATCGCCG